CATACCAATATTAAATTGTGGTTATTATCATTATAATAATGATTATCTCATAGCAGTATGTGAATTATTTTAAAGTAGTACATGTACATCAATGTATTTTAAGTGTATTTGGTATGTTCGTGTAATACAATGAATGTCACCATTCGGATATAGTTTGTTATTGATTTCAAATAAATAAGCTATCATGCTATGAGCTTTTTTGTGACTTTTTATGTCTTTCCAGCTCATTTTCAAATTGGTCATCTTAGTATTTGTGTCATGTGACTTCAAAGTTTCATTTTTATTTGTTTGGGTCGTCAGATCAAACAAATAATGGTAGCGAAATTTCAGACTCTGATGCTGTTAATTGCAAATGCCGAAAGTAGTCCGCTTTTTTGAAGCGGTTACTTCCCTTTAGATGTACACTAACGCCGGAAAATTCAGGGGAGATCACTGCGTAATGGTCAAATGACAGGCGCATTAATTTTCAAGCAAAATAGTTCCCGAATGGTCGAAGATTTCTAATATTGTTTAATTCCTTATAGATATGCATGCTTATAGTAAGCTCCATAATAATTATTTACATCTGTGTAGCGTCGAAATAATAATGGTTACAAACCTAATTTAGAATAATATGGTTTTCTTCAGGCCGTTAACATATAAGTTCTCCGTGGCCGAGGGGTTTGCGCGTTCGCTTAGGAAGCGAGAGGTCTGGAGTTCAAATCCCAGTTAAGGCAACTCATTTTTTTTTCAAATTATTTAAGTCACATAAACATTGAATTGAATATCAGTGTTGCAATTAGTCTTATAGACAATTTACTACAATTAAAACGCTGGAAAGCATTGGTAGCACTATACAAAAACAAATTGGTTTATAATCTCACAACCTTCACCTTTCTGACATTCTGAGACCCAAACAAATTCAGCGCCTTCTATGCTTTGATTTCATTATATCATCATATACCAAAAATATGATACTATTATCTTGGTCAATTCTTTGTTGAAAAAGTCGAGCGAGCTATCTTCCCTTGACCGCTCTAGACCGTATTGAAAATTCTTTCTGGATTGACTAAATTCGCCATAAAGCCAATATCGGGTTATCCGTGTAGATGGGTTATACACAAAAGGCCATAAATGACATTTAAACCTACCTGTGGTATTTGCTAAAGTTGAGGTGCAATAGAGCATACAATTTTTTTCACGGCTTAAATGACTAGCATTATAAAATCTATTTCAGTTTCGATTCCCATTTGATAGGTTGTCAATAGTAGAGGTGTGGTCTAAACATGTCGTCGGATGGACTTTGTAGTGATCCGGTGGACTTCTCGTTACTAATACTTAAAATTTTGGCAAAATGTTGCAAAGGAAGTCTCAGCTTCTTGTTCTACGCTCTACGGGCCGCTCTTGGTCTTCTCATAGACGGAATAGAAATAATGCTGTTATCATTTGTGTTAGGTAAAAAGATCGAGGATAATAAGGATCTTGGGACTTCTCTAGAGATAGCATTGGGATTCTTGGTCAGTTTTGGTTTCATAGCCATCAGTATACTAATCGGTTACGTTCTGATAGGGATCTTCTCCGACGAAAGCGATTATCAGGTTCAGAAACGGAAGAACAGGTTCTTCTTGGGGTTTAAAATTATCAATTTAATCTTTGCCGCTGTTATAGGGGCAGGCACGATTTATGGAAAAGACGAAATTGATCTGAGCAACCGAGGACATATTTTGTTAATCGTCAGCCTTGGGTTGGATGCCATTTTCGATCCCATTGAGCTCGTCGTTGGAAGCATAATAATGTGTAGATCCTAAAAGTGAAAAGGATATCAATGTCAAAATAGTACAAAATGTGAACTAACAGTTACTTGTGTATCAAAATAAGTTCATGATAATGCCACATGTCTTCATTTTATATGTAACAGTATGTAACCTATAATACTTCAGGATGTAACCAACATCAAGTGAGAAAATGAACGTAAAGATGGATTCAGTCAACCTAACCAAGAAGTTGGACACAGTACATGTATTCACATATATCATTCTGTGTCAAACTGGATAGAAACATGAATGGATGTATTTGCTAAAAATATATTATAAATGAGCTGTTCGTGGAAAGCAATTTAATTTTTACATAAGTTGTTTTCATCTGAACTAAGCCATGTATGACAGCCTAATTACATCTTAAATATATTCGTTCTGCTATTTAAGCGAACATTTTCATAAAAAGTAAAGATTTCAATAGGTTATGTTCGTGTATATTGAAAAAAATTCTTTTGATGTAAGCATGAAAGAGATTTTTGTGTTATAATAGTATAAAGTATTTTAATTGTCGGACATTTATTTTACAAAAATACTGCTGGTGTAAGATCTAGGCCAAGTTCAGTGAGATCGACCCTGAAGTGACCTGAATTTCTGACTTAAGTATATATGTGAACTAAATATAAAATATACTCGAATTGATTTAATCGAGATTACTATTAACATAATATTGTTAGATTTACAAGACATAAATCAATGTTTACAACAATACTATGCTATGTATTCAGTGAAACATAAATAACTGTGAATAATATTGTTCGTTTAATCGCAAAAAAGCTGGTCTATATTTGCACGAATAAATATATATAAAAATGTTATATCGACTTTATATTTGTTCATTTACAATGTTCTGTGGTGTTAAAGTTTCCATGGTTATCTTCATATTTAATCACATGTTCCTGAAATTTGAATATATCTAAAAAATATTGGATAGTCGTATTTAGTCAACAGTAATATGGCAAACATAAAATATGAATATCAATAATATCTGTGCAACCATTTTGACAACTTGACCGATAATAAGTAAAAAACCTTAATAGTCAAGGGAACTAATAATATATTCGTCATTCAAGCAGAGACAGAGATAACATTATCTACACCTCTGATAGAAGCATGTTGATAGATAATTTAAAATATCTCTTCCAAGCCCCCAGGCCAGGAGATTTGCAACCGGATGACTGCATTAAATGTTTTGATAAGGGAGTACACTACAACAAATAATGCATGAAACTAACACAAATATATTCCAGCCCAACTCGTAAACGTATCTTTGGGCCGAGCGAGGGGACGACGAGGGGTAGGGGGTTCCGCCCTGAAGCCCGGTGCTGATCCTTGAAATACCCTATCCTCCTAAACATTCATGGCCAGCACATGTAGTGCGCTATGACAACGTAAGAAGCGTTGACGTCAAAACACTCACAAATATTTTCAACGTATCTGCTGCTGCCCGCAATACAAAGTAAATATGCCCGTGAACACTTTTGATAAGCATGGTTGGAGCCATTTTGTTCATATTTTTAGACGTGGCTCCCGTAGAAATGAATGCGAGCGACTAAAATATGTGACTTTAAAATTATGAGTATCTGTCTATTATATAGAGGATATAGAATGAGAGTAGGTTCTATACTGAATTTATTGAACGAGTTGGCGAGCAAAATATTATTTTATTCATCGAGTTCAATAAATCCAGTAATGATCATACACGAATATAATATTTTATTTATCACATGTCCAAAATAAAGACTGTTAAAATGCAAAATTTACGTAAGAATAGTGTAACGCTAACATTGAACGTGTCTTTGCACTTTGTTTATATGCACGGTCGAGCAATACCATCTTTAAGGAGTCGTAAACTGGACACGGGCATGTGATAAAATGTGTATACATTCAATAGGTAGTGTCCGAAAGAAAGACCCTGGTGTAAAGCACCTAAACGCCACTGTTTGTTAGTAAATGTTACTGTATAACTTTAAAGGACTTGCTGAAGAATTGAGTATTTTAAAACGTTGTTCTACACAATTTACTGAGACATTATTAAAATATTTTATGTCAAATTTCCCACGAATAAGCGATGACACGAAATATTTCCTACTGAAAGGGAGACAATCATCAAGCAAATGCAAACTCAGCATCGATCTCTACGTAGTGATCAGTGATCACCCATTGTTGTAATTGAGGTTGCATACCACACTCAAGTGAAATTATATATATGTATATAATTATGCTTATAAAACGATTTTCAAATAATGTAGAATATGTAAAATATGTACTGCAAATATTTTACATATTATATGTAATCATTAAAACATATGCATTCATTTCTTATTGAAAAGTTTGACAAAGGCCGCTATTCCATTAAGGCTGCTATTCCATTGATACGTGATCAGTGGTCCGCGTCCGTCATCCGTGTCCGCTACCGATTCGCTAATCAAAGAATACGTTGAATCTATTCCTTTTGTCCGTCTACCATTCGCTTCCGATACGGCACCTGCGACGTTTCGCAGGATGAGCGATTTTTCACGGACGCGGACAGTACGGGTAACGGACATGTCTCGTCGCGACCAAATGCCTCGAACGAAATTAAATACTTAATCAATTTCGAAAGGAGCTCATCAAAGTAGTGTGGGAGAACCTATAAGTTTATGATGCACCAATGACAGATTAAAAAAAAACAACATCTGGTCTTCGATTGCTCACGGATTTATATTATATGTAATATAAATCCGTGGATTGCTCAAGAGATGTTATCCAAAAACCTAACTGGTATTCAGTGTTTTTTTCCTTTATTCTTTGACGTTACAACTGGTTTTGGTATTAAAATAGAATTATAATATCATATTCTACAAATAAATATCATCTGTTCGCTATACTACAATTAAAAGTTTATAGAAAATAATACGTACCTATGGAATAATACTCACGGACATGCACCGGACACGGATCACGGACGCGGGTCAAGGATCGCGTAAAATTTTTTTTTTATTACCTCCCTTTATTTTCATGAAATGTTCAATTCGGTAATATCTTTATAAATAATGCTTTTTAGAACTTAAAGGATTGATAAATCTTAATTTGAGCATCACATTTATGATACAAAACCAAACAAAAAATTGTTACAGGATCTTTAATTCTTCGGCGTTAGTGTACATATAAAGGGATGTAACCGATGCGAGGAGTTTGATTCAGCATATTTAAGATTTGTCTCCCTTTGACTAATCGGACTGCAAAGTAAGCGTCATAAATTGGAAAAATAATGATGTCAAATTGAATTGCAGATATCTGTAACCATGTAAGACTAACTTTATTTATGAGTTTTTTATCTTTATTTACAAAATAAATAATACAGAAGAACAATTGGTTGGACAAAGGTACTTGTAATAAATGTTGTACTGACCTTGTTTATAATATTCAATTTGTAATTAGATTTCGCGAGGGTATTTTTTTAAATCCTGAGGGTTTCCAATTTTGACGTTGATATTGCTTGCACGTTTGGATATTGAGTGATAAATTATCTGTTAATGTAAACATGAAACATTGAAGTAGAAAATCTGTGACAGTGAAATGTTCATTTTTGTCTTTTTTCAGCTTTTAGTAGATGACCTAATTAAAAAATTATAATGACAATAACTGCAGATTTATAATTAATACATTAGATCTATAGATTTTGAATATATTTCCCCACACCCAGTGTCGTGATTTGATAAGAATGTGAAAACTCTCAGATTTTTAAATCCTCTTCAGTTGTTTTTTTTGGTAGATCTATATGCGATTATGAAGTAGATCTATAAATATTGAAAATCAACTAAAATTTTGACACTTGACCCATTTACTAAAAGGATTTGTACCTCAACCGGATCTTGTGAGAAGATCAACATCAGTTCAGTAAAAACAGGCGGGATGACCCATAAAACTTTTTAAGATGGCTTGCATTTAATCTGTGAAGTTATGTTAACATTTGAATCATAATAATTAAGAAATAGTTTATCTTTGGTTATATATATTATATGCATCCATAACCTACTTCGTTAAATAATGCACATGAAATGCTGTGCTCTTTACATCATATTTTGTTTTTGTCAACACATGCTGATTACACAAGCAAATTTTTTCCTAAAATTGTTTTACTTCACTATAACTCATATCTGAATCTTAACCTCATGTTACCGGACAGACACTAGTAGATATCTCTGAATAAGTTATTGTGCCGCAAGAGCATGACACATCTTTTAGTTTTATATAAGTAACTAATGCTGCACATATATGGGGAGCTTCATCATGTTTTCACTGTCTAATGAAGTAGCTGGTGATAGTTTAATCAGAAAGATAACAAATCTATTCTTCATTTACCATTCATTTTTCTTTGAAGAGATATAACTTTAGCTAAGCTATATAATAAGTAGTATAAACGTTTCTACTATTAAGTTCAACGGCATTGTTGTTAGTTTTGACGAGACCGTAATATGATATCAAGTATCAATCCTCCTCAAAGATCATCAAAGGATTTTAAATTTTTTTGATTACTTATTTCAACATGTTGAAAAGCTTTACACCTACCATTTCATTAGATCTATGCTTTTTAAAACATGGTTTTATATTCTCAGAAATGCATTGACTATAACATAATGTTGTCTGCACTAAATCTACTACTATAATTTACTACAGATTTACAAAGTTTGTGTATTGTACTTTTAATCTCTTTGTGATAAATCTGATGATACCATAACTACACCATTAAATTTTTAATGAAAATTAAATTGAGATAATTTTGATAAATATCAATGTAGATTTTATGCATTATAGGCAAAGTCAACATAGAGCTTTGATAGAATAGAAATATAATATATACAGGTAGTGAATGAAGTTTATGCTAAAAATTTCATTAGGGGTGTTGAAATTAAGGTGTTGTTACTGTAGAGTAATAATGAGTATGCTCACAATATTATTGAATGGTTCTGTCAAGGAAATCACTCTAAAATAGACTTAGCATTTTAAAATTTTCATGTGGAGTCATGCCATCCAAATCCGCTCTTCCCTACCTGCAATGCATTGCCAATTTTTAAACGCTACATGACTCTGACAGGTATGGTCAAGCTTAACTTAACTGCAAGGCTTTTAGAAGTGGCTTATACCTATATACATGTATGATTATTACAACATCATATATTTCTTATTAAAGTAAATATTATTCAATATTGTAAAAATCCCAGCTATTTCTGTATCTGTTAAGCTGAAGGAGACTAAGGTGATGATACCCTAAGGGTATAATGATGTTTTTATGATAACATCTGTTATATTTTTCGCTCTTGACAGGACATACCTGCCAATATTGAATCAATTTTAAAACTGGTGGAAAAGTTACTAGGATTCACAGAGCTGACAGTGTCAAAATAAAGGTACTTATTAATTTTAGTATGTTCATATGATCTGACATTTGATTGCAAGTAAAATAAACTTGTACATAATTGAGAAATATTTTATCAACATACAATGATACATGCCTTGTTACTTTTGAAATTAGAGATACACATACATTGTAATACAGATTTTGCTGTTATTTGAATGAAAAGTGGCAATATAATTTCAAGGGACCCTATCTTGGCTGAAAGTTAAAAGTAACTGACTGTATCCCCTGTTAATCATACCAGGTGAAAAAAAGTGGTGACATGGCCGAGTGATTAAAGCGTCGGACTAGTAATCTAATGATCGCTATGGGTTCAATCCCCATCAGGGGCAAGTCGTTGTTTCCTTGAGCAAGAAACTTTACACTCATTGCTCAGTACTGGTTGGTTCTAGGAACGGATTCGAAAGTGTGTCTATAAGCTTAAAGCTTCCTACACAATCGAACTAAAATAAATTCTGTATAAACCAATCATACCAGGGACAAAATATTGTCTCAAGATTAGAAAGCTGTTTGTCCAACAACTTATGGAAGGTCTGTGGGACCACCTTATTGTGCTATGTGGCGAGATATTGTGCTATTTTGAGTATGGGCAAAATCTCGCCTCTGGAAGAAAGATTCTGAACAAGAACAAAAATATATAAGAATCCAGCTTTGGCATGTCAATATATTTTTACTATGTTTCCACCCAGGTTCATACATGTACAACTTACATTATTAATACATGGAGGAGTATCTAGGGTTTCCTTCCTTTTGATTTGTCAGTTTAAGCATCTGAACTTATGACAAGATTATTATTAAAAAAGGACAACAGTTGCATTGAATTAGGATCAGCCCTAAAATGATAACTGGCCTTTCCAAATATATGACAATCTGAGAACAAAGACGTTATGCACAGCTGGGAATCCCGAGATAGGAGGGCTTATAAAGGTTTAGAAAGTTCATAAGCATTTTTGAAGACTACATATTTTTGTGAGTTTTGAAGTCATACTATTGACAGACTCTACAAGTGAGAAAGTTATGACGGAATTTCAGTGGTTCTACTCAGGTACCTTTTTACCTGAAACAATGTACAGAGGGGTTACCTGAGGTCTTTTTCCAGTAAAACTGGAAAGTTGCTATATGACCAATTCTGTGTTAGTGTGACCTTAAACCCAACCACTTGACACTCCTTGTTCAGTACTGGCTGGTTCCAGGAGTAGATTTGAGATTGTGTCTATAAGCTTTAAGCTTCCTACACAATCAAACTAAAAATAAATTCTGTATTAACCAAACCCAATTAATCAAAAAAAAAAAGAAAAAATGAATAAATAAAAAAAATGAAGTCCTACAATTTGTATAAATTAAATGTGAAAATTTTAACTTCACCTTTGATTTTGTTTTGTTTCAGCATGTCAGATGAGGAACTGTGCCTAGTGAAACCAGAAATTACTCAAATATCATGTCTAGGTAGTGAAAGGTATGAAAACAATGTTGTTCCACATTACCAGTACATTTTAACCTTTACCTTGTTGAAATTGTTAATTTGACTTGTCCAGCATTGGTGATATCAAGATGAAAATTTAAAGCCAACATTATATAACTTGGTTAGACAATACTAAATTTGGCATAGACTTATTGCTTTAGGTTCGTTTAAGGTAAGGTTTAAATATAGAGCATGCACTTTTCAGTCAAAATCACTTCAGTTGTAAGTTTCTCAACTGAAATCTATTTGGATGATTATTTTTGTAGTATAACTAAAATGTGTCTTAGTGAAAAAATGCTAGAAACCTTCACAAAATTAAAATGTTTTTTTTTACAAAGATCAAATTTTTTTGTGCAAAATATTGATAATGTCCTTTTGTCTACAGAAGCTTTAGAGGATGTTGAAAGATTTTTTTGTGTTTAAAGATATACTATGCTCATCTTTTGTTAAAATACTTTTAATGCAGAAATTTATTGAAATATTGGAAATGTTTCCTGAATATGTCTTATTCGAATAAGTGAATATGGGAAGCTGAAATTCTGGTTACTTGTCAGATTATTTTGGTCTGTAAAAGCTGCCAGATTTTTTAATGACTCTATGTAACCTGTAGTGTGTAGAGGTTAAATCGTTACATATTTTGTGACTTGGCTTGCCCGGCTATAGACTACAGGTGTGTAAAAAACCATGAAAAAAAGATCAAGATTTCCATACCTATCAGTGAAATTTTCAGTGTCATTTCTAGGTTAGCGCTGCCATTTTTAATGTAAACCAATGATAATCAGCCAGGTATTCTGATAAAGGAACAGTTGCAGCTTTTGGCTCTGCGGTGTTTCAATTGAAAACAGAAGTGGTGCATGAAATACCAAATGACACATTTAAAAGAAAAAAAGTAAATAAAAAATGAGTAGAATTTTTTTTTAATCTGATTTCCCTGTTCAAAGGCTTTGCCTACTTTTATATTAAACCTTAGCAAAGAATTACAAGAAAATACTGATGATGTTTAATGATATATTTCAGTTTTGAGGAGAGATGGAAGATCTGTGTTAGGGTGACAAGTAAATCAAGAAAGTTAAGGTCAGATGATGGGACACAATATTTCAAAGTTGTCCTTGAAGACAAGTCTGGGCAGATTGATGCGCTCGCATATGGAAGTCAGAATGTCCATAAATTCTTCGACAGATTTGAGGAGGATAAGGTACTAAGCTTACAGCAAGTCCCTCTATTTTTCCCCCAATGAATTATGTTACATGTAAAATGGTTACCCAGTAATATTACAATCCATCCAATTCCTGATAATTAATATTTTTGAGATATTATGTATTACTGGTATATTAAGCTCAAATAAGTGTCATTTCTATCTCTAGGTTTTATAATAATGATGATGATGATGAACATTGTGCCAGATTCTCAATTTAAAGCTGTATGCCTTGAAATCTTTGAAAAGTAAAATTGGAGCAAAAAAATTAAGAATTATATTAAAACTGTCAGTCACAAAATGTTAAGTTGTTAAATGACAATTTTCATTTCCTGAGCTAAATAGGACTGAATTTTACTTTAAAATTCTACTTAAAAATTCAGTTTAATTTTGCTTTTGCTTCACAGTATCAAGACAAGTTGCATTTCTTTAAAGGAACTCCACTGTGCTCCATTAGCCTAAAATTATAAAATTTGAAATTCTTTCATAAATCAACTGGTGTACTTAAAATTGAAAAATATGCAATAGATAACATATAAATGAATATACTTGATATTAAATTGAATATTTACTGTTACATGATTTTTGGCCAATTTAGTACAACACTTTTCATTTTGGGGGTCAATTTGCATGACAAAATTGATTATTCCTGGGGAATGGAGTGAGCAAATGATCTGAAGTTCTGTAGACAAGACCTACATCCAGTTAAAAAATATTGTAAAATGAAAAATATTTTCGATTAGTTTGTGTCAAAAAACCTCAGTGGAGTCCCTTTAACTTGAATGAAGCTAGTTTGGTATTCATAAGCTACAGTCCTAGGTGTAGTACATTTCTTTTTATGATGGTAAGGATGGTAGTCAGGCCATTTGTCTTCAGCTGCTTGACTACCAGTAAGTGGAAAAGTGAGCGATTACTTGTGAAGACACAGGTTTTATACAATAATAGAAATTAGGAATCTATGATATGAAAATACATGTATGTACCGGTAAGTGTCTGAAATTCTGTGAAAAAACTGGTGCTAAAACAAATTTCATGTTAAATTTGAGCTGATTTATTTCAGGTTTACTTTATATCTGATGGAAAGTTGGTAAAACATATAAAAAAGAATCCACATAAATCTGCAAAAGATAATTTGGATGAAATAGAGAAAATCACGCATAAAAATGATGACAACTCAACTGATGGAAAGGCAGAAACTGAAATAGGAGAGAGGGTAGATCAAAATGGAAAGATACAAAACAAAAATGAAGGGACAATAGATGAAAATGAAGGGAAAATAGATGAAAATGGGGAAAAGATAGATGAAAATGGGGAAAAGATAGATGAAACTGGGAAAAAGGTAGATGAAAAAAGAGAAAAGATAGATGAAAATGGGGAAAAGATAGATGAAAATGGGGAAAAGATAGATGAAAATGGGGAAAAGGTAGATGAAAATGGGGAAAAGATAGATGAAAATGGAGGGAAGATAGATGAAAGTGAAGGGAAAATAGATGATAATGATGGGAAAGTACAAAGTGAAGAAGAAAGGAAGATAGATGAAAATCAAGGGCATTTACAAAGTGAAACTGAAAAGAAGATAGAAAATATAGAGGAAAATGTTGATAAAATCATTGATGAAAATGAGCCAAAGAAAGAGGATGAAATAAACCTTGTAGCAGAGAAAGATGATGATAAAAATGACAGAAATAAAGATGATGATATGGATGAAGAGTATTTCTATGAAATACATCTTGAGTCAGGAACTGTGGTTACATGTAAAGATGTAGACAGCAAGCCTACAAGTCATTTTACCCCCATTACACAGTTAAGGCATGTCAGTAAAACATTTGTGGGTAAGTAGGCTTACTGATTAATCAGTTTTCTTGTTATAAAGTACATAACATATTAAGTGTTACTCATTGGGCAAAAGAGGATGGATGGATGGCAAGTTAAAAGTGAACGTAAAAACATAAATGAGGACTAGTAATGCCTTGAATATTTTTATTATAGTCAGCATTGTTTCAGGAGTGTATTTGTTTTTCTTTTGAGTAATATTTATCATTTCCCTTCCTTCATAATGTTTGTTTTATCTTAAAATGATAAGACATTATTGAATTCACCCTTGCAATGCTAAAACCAAAATTGGAAGGCCTTAGCCAGCAGTATAGAGCCAGATTAAGCTAAAACTGCTGGTTTACTGTCTTGCAGGTTCATTGAGGAAATTTAGCAGGTTAATTAGAGAACTATGTCTTACATTTCTTTACATTCAGCAGGTTTTTTGACACACCCCCCTTTTTGAGGCCTCAAACAGTCTACAATACCCTATTTAGGCCCAAAACACTGTTTTTCGTTTGAGAAATGTTGATAAAAAAGTGATCACTTTTTTGGTGCCACCCCCTCTCAAAAAGTACATCAAGGGGTCGCAAAGAAAATTTTGGACATGTGACATTTAAAAATGGCCTCAGGTCAATTGTAAGGGAACGTGTAACCAGCGCTGAAAAGCCTTTGACTCTATCTCAGTCCATTAAAAAGTTGCAGCACTTTGAAATTAGTTTTGATGGAAAAAACCGATGCAAAATAGTGATTTTTGGCAATTTTGAGACGTCCCCCTGATGCCATGAATGATGATAACAGGAAATTTAAGACTGAGCATGTTACACAGGCTATGGTCCAGTCAATATTTGTGCCAAGTTTCATCAGTATTGAATTATTTTCCATAGTATCATAGCAGTTTGAACTTGTAACAAGAGGCTTTTCAATGAAAACGGCCATTTTTTACAATATGCTCATGAGGTAAAGGGTTAATTATTTGATTACAAACAGTGTGGTAAATGAATGCAATATTCAGATTTTTTTTCTTCACTCCAGATGTTGTTGGGATTGTGACAGGTGTCTGGAAGTTAGAGATGAAATATACGCAATTTAGATCTATAAATATAACAGACGAGAACGGATGCGATGTGAATGTTGCATTATGGGGCAAACTGGTAAACATTTATTATATTTTCAGTATTAGATAGTGGAACATGTATTATCACATGACAATAAAAATCACAAATTACACGAAATCTGTAATTAGATGCGATATATTTTTACAGTAATTTGAGTAAAGTATCTGAACATGTACAGACAATTTTTTTTCCAAAAAAGTCATTTTGTAGTAAGAAAACAATATTTATAGCTAGGATTGACTCTTTTATTTGTAAATATTTATTTTGGGATTTCATAAATATTTTATTTTCAGATTTTGTAGAGATATTGTTTTTTCACGATTTTGTCAATATTTTATTTTCACTATCCTGGACATTGAAGTACTAGAACTGCCAGAAATTTCATTGTTATTGAAAAGAAAAGAATAACTTGATTGCAAATTTTAAGCTTTAATTATGAGTTTAAAGGTTTTTATAAATAAAATTGTGATGACAAAAAACCCCCATAAAATTCAAGCCCAGACAGATGTTTTGAACTTTAGGTGAACTTGTTTATGTAATTTTCACTTTACAGGCTACAGATTTTGATGTTAAGTCTATAAGTACTGTGGTATCTTTGAAGCATGTGAGAGTGAAGAAAGAGAACGGTAAGAAAAGTTATTTACATAACAACAAACTAACAAATATAATCCATATGTTTCATGATGCATAAATGCATTCTCAGCTTAATTATTAAAAAAAGTGGGGATATTTTACTGACTCTTGTTTATCTTACAATGTATATTAAAGGGTGTGAAGCTTTATTTAATAGTTTGTTTTATAACTGTTTAGCAATGATTTTGTGCATTGGCCATTCCCTCATTTAGAACAGTTTTTCATGCAAATTAATGAACAATTTAATATGTGAATACACAGCTTTTTAAAAGAAATTTGCATTGCTTTTAAAAAATAATGAATGCCTTTTCTTTTTCAATAGCCAAGTTAGACTGTTGATGCAGTTGTACCAAATTTAGATATTTATATATTTTTGTTGTTATATTGTTTTGTTAAATAACAACTTTCCAGTGTTTTAATTACAAAAGCATATCATAGCCAACATTATTTTCAATTTCATTGGACAAGGGTTGCAGGAAATTTCTAAGTTGTATTAGTTTAATTTATCGGCCAATATATCATCATTCACGTAACAGCGTTGTTATTATTAAACAGGAGATGCTGAACTTCAAAGCACTCCGAATACAATACTTGATTACAAACCAGCTGAGCCAGAAGCTGTTGTACTGAGAGAAATCCTGGGTATAGCCGAAGACGTCACTGATGTAGAAAATGAAACCAGTCATTGTTCCAGATGTCGTAAACGGAGAGGAAGTTTCAGCTCTAGCGTAAGCGGTTCTTCTAAACGTCATAGAAACGATTCCGGTAATAGCAGTGGAAGACCGAAGCCCAAGCGAAATAATTCAAATAATAGCGCAATGTGTAAAAGACGTGGAAACAAACAGTTACTTGGTCGAAAGGGGAGAAAAATTTATATCAGAAAACGTAACAGTACACGTGATTATTTCAAAAGTGAGGATAGTGACTCTGATCCGAGTGATTCGGTATCGGAGGACGTGAGAGAGGTGAGGGGGAGAAGACGACCAGTCAGGCATTGCCAAAGCTTGTACTCAGAAAAAATGAAAAAGAAAAGGAGAGTGCACTCATCATCAGATGATGATTCTGAAGAAAGTGATGACTCTGATGATTTTACAAGTGATGATACAGATGCTTCCGAGAAGAAGAAAGATAAAAAGAATGGAAGGAGAGGCAGATCTGGAAATGGTGATGATAAAAAGAAATCCTCACAAGATTCATCCAAAAAAGATGGTGCAAGCAGGTAAAAACTTCGAATCACTCATAGAGTACTATAAAATTACTGTTTTCAGTTAAAAACTCTTTAAAGAATGTTTAATTTAATTTTTTTTTGCTTGTGTTCCATCAGTTTGGCTTATACTGTATAAGTGGTTAATTTTGTGATTGGAAATATTTGGGATTATTTGCAAATACATGAGCACATAAAATTTATCTTTTAAAAGTCCATTCTTAATTAAGCTTGTGCCCTTGCACCAGTGCTGTGTTTAACTAGCAATTCTTATGTTAATATTGTGTGTGTATTTGAGTTTAATTTTACTTGCCACTATTTGCCCATATGGGCGAGTCCTTCAGAAGAGTGTTAGTCATTTTAGATGTTTGAAGTTTTGAAGTGCAAAATACAGGTACAGAAAGATGCCCAAATTCCAGGAGCTTCTGCTGGTACTTTAGCATGCCAAGTGTTAAAGCAAACATACACAGGACTTTGATTGAAGGTCTCAACCGGAAGACTGATTAGTAATTTTAGTTGGCCAGTCCGGGAATCGAACCCACAATGTCGAGATAACAAGTCTCGCGCTTTAACCTATTGAGCTATGCGGGCTGGCATATATCTTTACAACAGTTTGTCTATACTTTTATCAATGGTGAATGAATAAGTTTTAATTCTGCTGGTTCTGAAATCAAGTTCACTGAATACTTGTTTGTTTAATTGTTCTCATTTCATAACAAATCACACCAATTGAAATACCGATATATCGAATCAGATCTACTGACATATAAAGATATGTATATCATTTTATTTCTTTGTGTATTTTCACAGCTCACAAGCTCCTCACACTGTTATTTCTATAGAGACGGACGATGAGTCAGAAGTGGAAAGTCTCAATTCAAAGCCAGCCATTCTCACCAAGGGAGAGAAAAAGTGGAAAGACAGTGGTAATTTTATAACTATCCTTTAATATAAATTCCCATTTTAAGAGAGCATGGTAATGAATATGAATATATGGCTATTGATGAATTTGGTTATGATTCCCAGTAACATCATAATTATGATAATAGAGCAAAATTGAAATGCTTCATTGAAACTAATTTGCAGAAGTTTTCTATTAAAATCAGAAAAAATACTTCTCAATAAATAATTACATATACTATTAATTAAAACTAACATCCATTTAAAGGAATTCTCAAGTAATTTAGTCATTCCATTCCATCATTGAAAGGTCTATTGGACTCTGTTCTCATAACCTAAGGGTAATTATAATAAGAAATAAGTGTCAACGAAATGATATCAGATGCAAGATTGTATTTCCCTAAGCAATCAGAAATTACAGTTCAAATAATTTTACATCATAGATATACCCCTTTAGGTAAACTTTATTTCATAGGTTTAGGTATTAGGCTTAAAATAGTAAGATACATGTACATATGTGTGATAAATACTTCATATTTCACTGAATGAAACCCAGAAATATTTTGATAAGCACAAAATAAGAGGTTTGATCATTTGAGCTCAATATTAAAACAAATTCACAATTATTAAGAGCAAGGCCAGTGTGCATATCAATGCTTTTTGACGCTACAGTACGCTGCTCAGATGTAGCTAGTATTTTGATATTAATAATCCTTATATTAATAAATCAGCTGTTTCAAATCTAGTGGTTAAAAATGAAGATTTTTTCAAAGTCCACCTATCTAAAAAAAATTATCATTCTTTGAAAGGCATTGAAATTTTACTAAGACAAGTCAATATTATCATTACTGAGAAATGGGTCTAATGACTTGTAAAATAATAATTTCTTAAATGAGACTTGGGTGGTCCTTTTGGCTTTTTCCCTGTTAACCGTCATACATACTCGGAAAGAAGATCTACAAGTATACATGTTTATCCTTATTTGAAACTGTTCCAGATAAATTCAGGAGATGCACAACATTGGGAGTTTATCTGAATGTGAACAGAATGATATATACATGATTGTTAAATTGTAGTAGAGGGTGTTGACATTTACCTAAATCTTTCGATGTATTGATAAAGAACAATTTTATATGCATCTGTGAAAAACGTCATATAATTGTGACATTGAAATTCTGTAATATTTTTTTAATTGTTTATCGAGAGTTAAAAAAAAATGATTATCTCTCTCATAGATTCTACGATGCACTAGTGTCGCTACTTAGATAAATCTCATAATATATCTCTGCCAAAGAAAATCTGGGCTGCAAGGAAATTCGTGGCCGCGGCAGAGAGAGTCTGGCTCCGCCAAAGAGGAATCAGTCAAACAAAGGAAGTGGTAAGGAAAAGCAGGCAACTGATGAATATTTTGAGGCTCTAATAGTGAGTGTAGCAGTGATTCAAGTTCAGATGATAGTGATGACAGTGATGATGATAAAACTGATGATGGATCTGATGATAAAGAAAAAAAGAAGTCTGGTTCCAAAAAGTCAAAAGTTAACAACTCTAAGAGTAAGTCTAAGAGAATTGAAAGTGATGATGACAAAACAGATGATTATGAAGAAGAAAATAATGATAATAATAAAAAAGGTAAATCAAGTTCTGTAAAGAAAAATTTAAGAACACGTGGATCTGCACGGAAAAAGAAAGAAGTAGATACTGATGATGAAGCCGACGGGAAAAGTGGTGACAAGACCAATGATGTTAATGATAAAAATGATATACCTAGTGCAGGAAAAATATCCAGACCATGTCGTAATATTAGAAATAAGAAATATAGTCTTTCAGATGATGATGACCAGATTGAAGAAGATAAAGTTGATGAAATAAATGATAAATCAAAACCGACAAGAAAGCAACCAAAAAGTGTTCCCTCAACATGTAAACAGAGAAAAAGTGACAAAAGTAATGAAGATGCTCATAAGGCTAGTAGTGGTGGAAAGGAAAGATCTGAATCAACAAAAGAGTTGCCAAGAATTCGTCTGATTTTGCGAAAAACCAAAAAGAAGGTTTCTTATAGCGAAGCTGATGATAAACCTGTTGGTATCAATGATGAACCTAAATCCTCAGGTAGACCGAAAAATAGCATGTCTAAAAAAGGCCAGGAAGACCAGAATGAAACAGATTCTGGAAAAACTAGGCCAGCTACTCGCCGTTCTACAAGTAAACAGAAAACTGAGGCTTCTGAAGAAGGTGATGATAAAGATTTAGAAACAGATGCAATAAATTCTTCTCAGAAAGATTCAAATACACGTCGTTCAATGCGTAAAAAGAAAAATTGTGATTATGACGAAGCTAAAGAGGAAACCATTGATGATGGTGATACTGATAAGATGAGTGATTCTCCTGCGAAAGGTAGAGCATCGCGTAGGTCTTCCCGCAGGAAAATAGATTTTACTGATGACGAGAATGAAGTAAAGAATGAAAGTGATCACGAGGAGAGACAAAACTTAAAGCCAAAATCTCGCAGGTCGTCTGGTAAAAGAAAAACTAATGTATCTGATGAAGAGGAGGATGAACAATTTAACAACATTGATGATGCAAATGATCTCTTTGATTCTAGTAAGAAAAACATTAAGACTCGTGCTTCAGGGCGTAATCAGAAAAGTGAGATTTCTGAGTTAAATATCGAAGATAATGATGAAGATGATTTAGACGATTTTGACCTTGTAGTTGAAACAACAGGTAGTGCAAAGAAAAATGCCGAAAATTGTTCTTCTGATCCGAAGGAAGACAATGTTGTTGAAAGTACTGAAATTGATTCCCCAGTCACAAAACCCAAAACTCGTCGTTCCTGTGGGAAGAGTAAAAACTATATTTCGGATGATGAAAACAAAAGTGAGGACATTAAAGAAAAAAATGATTCACTAGAAGAATTGCCACAGAACCGTCATTCATTACGGAAACGAAAAATTCCTGTCAAATATGCTGATATTGATGATATTGAAGACAGTGTGGAAAATGTAAAGGATAACACTGTGTCTGGAAATAAAAAACGCAACACTCGGCGGACCTCTAGTCGACAGAAGACTGTTGTTACTGATGATGATGATGATGATGATGATGACTTTCAGGATGAAACTGAGTCTGCTAAGAAAAAAGCCAAATATGTACGTTTGGCACGAAAAAAGAAAATCAATGCGGCTGATGATGAAAATAAAGACAAAGCAGATAAAGACGATAGTGAAACCGAAAAATCAGATCCTTCTAAGAATATGCCGAAACTTTCTATAGTCATTGATAAATTAAAAAATGACATCTCTGGTTATAATAGCGGGAGTAAGAATGCTAGTGATGAAGAGGAAAATCCAGATTCCCATGTTAAAGAAAAGCAGTGTGACTCTGATGATGGAATTGATGACAAGGCTATTGATAACAATGATGATGAAAATGATTTTGTTACAAAAAAGTCAACAAGGAGTGGCTCCGCAGTGAAACGGAGGCAGATTAGTTCTGATAATGAAGGTGATGAGAAACAGGACACCGACGCTGATGACGATAAAGATGATAAAGTTAAATCTAGCTCCAGCAAGAAAAAATTCAAAAGGGTAAGCTCAATTAAATGAATCACAAATTAATTATTCTAACATTTGGTTTAAACATATATTATTTTTTGTAATAATTATATAACACAACAATTTGTTTATGTTACATATAAAATCCATATAAATAATACAATAACTGACTTGAAGCAACTTAATGTTTTTTGGAGTTGTTTCATAATGATAGGAAGTATAATTACAAAATAAGCTGTATAATTTTGTCATTTATTGACGGAATCAATTGTGGGATAGAATTTTGAAATTTATTTTTGTTTAATATGAAACTCTTTGGCTGTATGTTAAAGTGGATAGGTCTACAATGGGCACATTTTCTCTAAGTATTTCAAATATTGATAGAAATGTATTATTTGGATATTCTAATAAAATATTGAATCAAAGAAAATGTTTATTAAAGTTCTAAGTGATATATATGTATTATAAACATTTATATGGTTAGAAAAACGTTTTATGTTCTAGAACATTTTATTATAAAGATTCTAATGTGTTTCATTTTTTGGTCATTTTGACATTAATTGAAATGATATATTCTGGAAAGATATGTAGGTAATGAAATTGTATCGCTGAATTTGTGCACACAAGAATATTGCACCGATCTACCTCAATCAAATCCAGAAAAAAAATACTCAACAGTCCTGTCATGTTCAAGTCTCCTTTAAATGAAAACCTTTAGAAGGGAAAACATAATTACATGTAGGTCTATACAAGTTTTCAACTATCGTTCTGGTAAGTTTGATGCAAAAGAAGAGAGGTATTTGTTGCTGAAAAGATATTGATGAAAAAAATACCATAAACTAATTCTATAACTCTTCCAATGATGAGAAATGAAATTCCATGGGTAATGTTAAAATTTTTTTATAGAGTAGGTTTAAGCTGATAGTTGTCCATGAATACAACAACTATAAATTTTAGACTCCTAGTGACAGAAACATTCAGGGGTGACAAAATATCATTTGTCCGTAATGCCCAGGTTGTCTCACAGCCTGTACGGACAAGTTAGAAGGTTTTAAGAACTTACCATATAAATATCAAACAGACAAGAAATGCTTCAGATAAAAACGAACAAGTTGGTCAAAATCAGATTTTACCGACCCTGCGGTATTCTTTCATACAAATTGGGGCGTAAAACAAAACAAAATTATATATTTTCTTTCATGTTTCAGATAAAGACCACATATACTTCTTCTCAAGAAACCTCCCAGTCTGTCAACACAGAAACTACTTCTTCTCAAGAAACATCCCAGTCTGTGAACCCTGAGGATGAATTTGGCTTTGAATTGGAAAACAGTGGCAATGAATCTGAAACCAATAGTGTTCACTCAGAGCGAGGAAAACAGGGATAAAATGAACAGATGAAGGGTCGTTAATTGATAGCGGCCTTATGTATTGAGCAGTCTGAGAGAGATGCGGAAGAGATGATGATGGAACTGTTTAAGTTATTACAAAAACATTATATCCTCGGTTTGCCATGCGAAGCAGGGTGTGAATCTTTGGATGAAGAAGATTTTCAAAGGTATGAATATTAAAATAACAAAAAGTTGTCATGCCCACTAATAGGGCTGTTATGTAAAATGTATTCAAATCCGCGTGTAAATCTATGAGCATTTTTTATGGCCCCCCACCTACTTTCAGTTGTGGTGGTCGGCCAAAGCAAGTCTAGAGTTAGCGCGATCTGTCCTGACTTATTGTGACGGAGAGCTGTCTGCTTCATAGTAGATGACAAGAGCATTGTACGTCCTGTGTGAGACCCTAAAACCTCCGTCTGGTAAATCCAGGAAAAGGAACTTTTGGCAAGTACCTTGCCCACACTATGCCTTTTATGCATGCGCTACTTCCAGATGGTGCTGTGGCTGTTTCATATCCTATGGATAATGACTTTTCTTTAGTTCCTTGTTTTTCTGACTCTAGGTCCTTTCTCAAATCTTGAAATGTTTATTTAATACTTGTATTAGAATTGGGGAAACTTGAGCAATTTTGTTTTGTGAAATATTCTTGTATGAGTGGACTCAGTGATAACAGCTAGTCAGTGCGCTCGTGCATAGTTTTATTACCCAGGTGCTGGCCTGCGGATGATATAATGCATGGAGGTCTTCCTGTTACTGATTTATATAAAAAGCACGTATATTTAACAAATTCTATGCGTATCTCTATGGTCGAGGAGTATGGATTGGGACAGAGAAGAAGACCAAAAAAGGGCAAGGGAGATATATGGCTCATTTATCGCCTGGGTGCTTGCCACCCGTACTATGTTGGCACTATCCCCTGTCTGCTAACACGTCTGATCCATAGGTATCCTTAAGACTTGACAAACGATTGGAATGTAGCGGACACCCTGTGTTGTCATCATCAACACATTTCTAGTTTTATAGCTCGTACCTTTTCTTATGAAAAGGGGAGCTATCCTACTCGCCCCGGGCGTCCCCTGATTGGCGTCAGCGACGGTTCTAGCGCGTTGGCCGTTCACACCTTGTTAAGTTTTTTCGTACCACCCCACTTTATTTCAGAAAGCTGCATTACAAGTTCATGGCTTTCGAAACTTACAGCATACTTGTTCACCATCATAACCTCCATTTCTACAGACAAGAGTAACATAACTCTGGCTTTCAAGGTTTGTTGACAGAATTTCGTCTATGGCCCCTTTTTTGACTTCAGAAAGTTGTATTGAGCTTGGTTAAAGTTTTGCCCTGTACCACCTTCACTTTATATTTCAAAAAAACCATTGGAGCGGGTATTTGCTATTGAAACTGGACACATACTTGTTTACCATCGATCGACCTTCATCAACAGACACCAGGAGGACATAACTCTGTCAAGGTTTTTTTCAGAATTATGCCCCTTTTTGAACTTAGAGAAATACACTTGAATATAATGGTATAAATCACTTATTGCCTTAACCTTTGAGAACTTGCTTTGAAACTTGTTAATGCCTATGTTCACATCATTACCCCCATCTGTAAACGCAAAGGAGAACTCTAACTCTGTCAGGGATTTGTTCTTATTAAGGCCTTTTATCAGACTCTAGAATCTTGGTTAAGTTTTTGTTGCTACAGTCAAACATTTTTTGATCTAGAATTCTTTGGTTGACGATATTTAAATTGAAAGTTGAATACTTGTATTTACCATCCATGTCCCAAAATGGGCAGGAGAAGGGTAATTCTGTCTAAGGATTTTTTCATTGAATTTATGGCCCTTTGACTTAGAAAACCTCTAGTCAAAATTTTCATTCTTGCTCCACTTCGTTGACCTAACCATTATGAGATATTTTTGAAAGTTGAAGTTCTTAGTGTGCCATACATGCAGACCCTATCTGTAAGCAAGAGAAGATTAAACTCTGGTGAAAAATGTTTCTTGATTGTACTTAAAAAAAAAATAAAAAAAAAAAAAGATTTCTAAAAGTTCTCTGCTACCTCTTTCTTGATGTTCTGTATCTAAAAGACGTACAGGAAAAATTCGTTACCGATATATTTGCAAACTACAAAATGCCATTTCTATTTAAGATTACATCCTCTCATCCGTTTATTTCATGTAAGCGTGGTATCCCGTTTAGTCAAGACTAAACGTTAATAGAGACGCGTCATTTCCCCGATGACGGTACTATTTTAAGCAGTCCTTTAGATACGTTAAATAGATATTTTTCTATAGAAAATTATCCTAACATCCTATTATTGAGAGAAGCGTTTGTCTAAAATTGAAGGGCATGCTCCCCAAAATGATTGCTCTAAGTCCTGTCGGTTAAAAAATACTAGTCTCAATAATACCTATCTTACTTGTAATGTTTTAATACATCCTGCCCTATATGGTGAAATTCTTCATCTCAAATATTGGGATCTATTACTTTGTGCTGGATCAAGGTAACGCGTAAAAATTGAGTGAGCGAGTAAACAACAAACCTATTTTAGCATATAGACGTCCTAAAACATTCGAGATTATCTTATCTAGAAGCTGCTTTACTTGATCGCACATTTTCTATCTAGCCAATGTTTACGAAGTAGATGTTCACATTGTACACAACTATAATTGTTGGTGTTCCCCAATTTAATTAGCAGCATAACAGGTTAGTTCTTTTTTGATTTACACAATGATGTTAATTTAGTACTACGCGTAATGTAATTTACCTCATTACATGTAAAGGCTGTAAAAAGCAATACGTAGGTCAGACTAATCAAGAATGTATCATGCAGAATGAATAAACATAGATTTGATATTAAGAATTGTGACGTTAATCCAGTTTCACATGTTGCGATCCATTTCGGATCAAACGATAATAAGTGTTCATTGTCAGATTTTTCATTTTTACCTATAGAAATTATAGACAACAACATGGACCGGTTATGTAAAGAATCTTTTTGGATCCATAAATTAAATACTATGATTCCAAATGGACTAAATAATAAAGTATTGTTTGATTTATAATAGGTTACATGAATATTAATATGTTTGTCTATTATCTTATTTTTATTAACACTGTCCTAATAGACATCTGTATCACTGTTGATCCATTTTAATTCATGTACCAGCTTTATTTATAGCATAAATATTTGTTTCTACATGTTATCATAGTTTTGCCGCTAAACGCCATAACGTTTTTCGCGCGTTTAAAGCGTGTTCCGTTATGACGTCGCTTCCGGTACTTTTTATTATGTTTTGCACTGATGAAGGCATATAGCCGAAACGTTTGCAATTAAATTAAATTACTAAATGTTCGTGTTTGTGTGGCTTGTCTGATTATTTGATTTGTACTTAGAAATTCCTAGTTAAAGTCTTGTGTGCCCTTAACTGTCAAAGTTTTGTTTTATAGGCAAGCACTAAAAAAGTCGAGCGCGCTGTCCTTCTGACAGCTCTTGTTTCTATGATGTTTTTTTCATGATTTGGCATAATTCTAACCAAGTTTTTTGTCTTTTTATATGCCCGAAAGGGCATATTATGTTATACCCCCTGGCGTCCGTCTGTCTGTCCGTCCGTCTGTCCGTACGTCCGTCCGTCCGTTAGCAATTTTGTTTCCGGAGCATAACTTAAGTTCCATTTGGCCCACAATCTTCAAACTTCATAGGATGATTGCCCATATTGGGTTGAAGACCTCTATTAATTTTGGGGTCAAAAGGTCAAAGGTCAAGGTCACTATGACATTAAAACTGAAAACAGTTTCCGGAGCATAACTTAAGTTCGAATTGACCCACAATGTTCAAACTTCATAGGATGATTGTCCATATTAGGTAGAAGACCCCTATTGATTTTGGGGTCAAAAGGTCAAAGGTCAAGGTCACTATGACCTTAAAACTGAAAACAGTTTCCGGAGCATAACTTAAGTTCCATACGACCCACAATGTTCAAACTTCATAGGATGATTGTCCATATTGGGTAGAAGACCCCTATCGATTTTGGGGTCACTAGGTCAAAGGTCAAGGTCACAATTACCTTAAAACCAAAAACAGTTTCTGGAGCATAACGGAAGTTCCATTTGTCCCACCATATTCAAACTTCATTGGATGATTGTCCATATTGGGTAGAAGACCCCTATTGATTTTGGGGTCACAAGGTCAAAGTCACTATTACCTTAATACTGAAAACAGTTTCTAGAGCATAATTAAAGTTCCAATTGGCCCACAATATTCAAACTTCTTAGGATAATTGTCCATATAAGGTAGAAGACCCCTATTGATTTTGGGGTCACAAGGTCAAAGGTTAAGTTTATAATAATAACTTAAGTATTAATCAACCTACAGCTGTAAAACTTTATAGGATGAACAGCGAATTCCCATGTCTTACAAATGCTTCATCCTTACTAAAAAAACAACACTTTCGGGCATATAATGCTCCGCCTAGCGGTGCTCTTGTTTGATTTGTTGCTATTTTATCTTACAGAAACAATTGACTTAAAGAATAAATTAGATGGCAGACTCGAGGTTATTATGAACATTTGTCAAAGTCAAGCATGGGGAGCAGATTTCAGGGTAAGTTTCTGTTTTTAAGGTAGGAAAGTACAGATAAAGCAACGTTAAGTATAGACAAAGCAACTTAAAGTATAGATAAAGCAACTTAAAGTATAGATAAAGCAACTTAAAGTATAGATAAAGCAACTTAAAGAATAGAAAAAGGAACTTCAAGAATAGATAAAGCAAGTTATAGATAAAGCAACTTAAAGTACAAATAAAGCAACTTAAAGTACAAATAAAGCAACTTAAAGTACAGATAAAGCAACTTAAAGAATAGATAAAAAACTTAAAGAATAGATAAAGAAACTTATAGATAAAGCAACTTAAAGAATAGATAAAGCAACTTTAAGTAAGAATAGATAAAGCAACTTAAAGAATAGATAAAGCAACTTTAAGTAAGAATAGATAAAGCAACTTAAAGAATAGATAAAGCAACTTTATAGAATAGATAAAGCAACTTAAAGTACAGATAAAGCAACTTAAAGTACAGATAAAGCAACTTAAAGTACAGATAAAGCAACTTAAAGTACAGATAAAGCAACTTTTAGAATAGATAAAGCAACTTATAGATAAAGCAACTTAAAGTACAGATAAAGTAACTTAAAGTATAGACAAAGCAACTTAAAGTACATATAAAGCAACTTAAAGAATAGATAAAGCAACTTAAAGAATAGATAAAGCAACCTGAAGTATAGATAAAGCAACTTAAAGTATAGATAAAGTAACTTAAAGTATAGATAAAGTAATTGAAAGTATAGATAAAACAACTTAAAGTATAGATAAAGTGACTGAAAGAATAGATAAAGCAACTTAAAGTATAGATAAATGAACTGAAAGTATAGATAAAACAATTTAAAGTATAGATAAAGTAATTGAAAGTATAGATAAAACAACTTAAAGTATAGATAAAGTAACTGAAAGTATAGATAAAACAACTTAAAGTACAGATAAAGCGACTTTCTGAAGTTACAGATAAGGTAATCTACATCTTGGTTTGTTTGTTTCAAATCAGTTTAAAGCACTTGTTTACTTCTTTGAAGTCCAAGTTAAATTTTCCAGCTTGATACATGTACTATGTTTTACTCATTTGACTTAAGTTGATAAATGAATACCATATAAAATAAGTCTTTCTATTGTACTTACGAAGGAATAGATTACATTGTTTTATTAGATTTTACTGCTGTGGCCACATTGCATTTCATGTACACCGACAATTGTTGTATGATTTCTTTTCTAATTAGGCAGATGTAATGACATATCCAAAATATAATGATGATGTTAAACACTCAGATCTGGCTGGTGGAGATATGAGACATCTCGGCAACTGTCAGGTAATATGTTTTACAAGGGTTTAATTGCTTGTGAAAGAAGCCCTGTCATTTCTTAATTCTTAGCTTTCTAGTAGCAACATATTCTACCCTTGTGACCATTGCAGACCAAGATTGGGCAACACATTTGTGCTGTCTGTGCATGGTATACAATGGTTGGTTTGCAGTCAGTACGTATTTTGAAAGTTTTCCTTATAAATGATGCTGGTTTTGTCCAAAATAAAAGATAGAAAAGTCCAATTTAACATATTTAGTGTGATATGGGCTAAAATAGGAGGGAAAATATTAAAAATTATAATAAGGAAAAGTAGGCGAGTGCTCAAAACATATTGCTGGGGAATTTACCTGACTACTGGGTCATATTGAAACACCTGAGCTTACCATTTGAATGCTACAAGTAGTAATGACTTAGTTATGTCATCAGTATATAGCTAGGCCAGTTTTTTTTCCATCCCTGATTATTTACCTGATTCCATTACACAAAATAAGCAGGAAAATCGCTGAAGAAGTTATGGTATAATATCCATCGTATGCTTGTAAAAATCCAATATTGTTGAACTTCACTTACAAATAGGCTGACTTGCTTATAAATTTTTGTGTCGCCTCTACGGAGTAGTGGCGACATATAGGGATCACTTCTCCGTCGTCTGTCTGTCCGTCTGTCTGTCCGTCCGTCTGTCTGTCTGTCCGTCCGTCCGTCACAAAACTTGTCCGGACTACTCCTCATAAACTACTGGTGCAATTTCATCCAAACTTTACAGGAATGATCAGTACCAAGTCTAGTTGTGCATATTGTCAGCATTTTCCGGTTCAATGATTTTTGTCAGAGTTATTGCCCTTTAATAATTTTTAATTTTAAAGTTTGTCCGGACTACTTCTCTTATACCACTAATGCAATTTCAATGAAACTTTACAGGATTGATCTGTAGCTCAAGTCCTTGCGCATATTGCATGGGTTTTCCGGTTGAATGATTTTTGGCCAAGTTATGGCCCTTTGATAAAAAGGTGTTTTTTTCTGTGTGTTGCCAGATACACAAAAGCTTGTCCGGACTACTCCTCATAAACTACTTGTGCAATTTCATCCAAACTTTACAGGAATGATTAGTACCAAGTCTAGTTGTGCATATTGTCAGCATTTTCTGGTTCAATGATTTTTGTCAGAGTAATGGCCCTTTAATAATTTTTATTTTTAAAGTTTGTCATGACTACTTCTCTTATACCACTAATGCAATTTCAATGAAACTTTACAGGATTGATCTGTAGCTCAAGTCCTTGCGCATATTGCACGGGTTTTCCGGGTGAATGATTTTTGGCCGAGTTATGGCCCTTTGATAAAAAGGTGTTTTTTCTGTGTGTTGCCAGATACGCAAAAGCTTGTCCGGACTACTCCTCATAAACTCCTGGTGCAATTTTATCCAAACTTTACAGGAATGATCAGTACCAAGTCTAGTTGTGCACTGTCTGTCTGTCTGTCCGTCTGTCACAAAATTTGTCCCAACATGAAATTGGCCATCATGAGGCGACACATGTGATTACTGATCGCTCTTGTTAATACTTATTTTTATTTAAATTTTGATTTACTTTAATAAAAACTTTCTGTTTATTTTGATATACAGGTATGCAACAGAGAAGGTCACCCTTGGTCAGTAATAGTTAAACTAGAGGGTGAACCCTATGACAGGGAATCATATCAGATGGTACATTATCTCCATTTACTTATGATAATACATTTGTACATAGTTCCATTGGAGTTCTTTGGAAAAAAAAATGTTTTGACTAAAACCTTTCTATTGCTTGAAATAGTCATGGAGTTAGTGTGTGAGTCATCAATCTGTCAGTGGCTATATAGTTATGGTTCGTGACTTTACATCACAGGCTTTTCATGACTTGATGGTGGGACACTTACAACCACAGAAACTGTCCAGATAATCATATAAGGTTGTTGGTTTTTACCTATGTGCTGGCATTTGCTTGAAATATTGCAGAAAGAGACTGCAGCCTATCACATAAGTAAAACCAACAAAGCTGGTGCATTTCTCCACCAGTAAATATAGAATGCCACCTTATAAAGTTAACAGTATTGTTGTGACTTGAACCTGATGGAGTAAAACTTACTTCTACATGTACTTGAGATCTTATTTAGAAATCTTAAGATAAAAAAACTTCTTTCTCATATTCTGTTTATCACCCTGATTGTACAATCAGTATGTCTTTTAACTCTCTTTTAAATACATGACTGTACATTCGATGTTTGGTGTTTGAGTCACATACAAATGAGCCGCGTCATGACAAAACCAACATAATGGGTTTGCGACCAGCATGGATTCAGACCAGCCTGCGCATCCGTGCAGTTTGATCAGGATCCATGCTGTTTGCTATCAGTTTCTTTACTTGTTATAGGGTTCGTAAGCAAACAACATGGATCCTAATCAGACTGCCCGAATGTGCAGGCTGGTCTGGATCCATGCTGGTTGCAAACCCATTATGTTGGTTTTGTCATGACACGGCTCAATTGGAGAATTTGTAAGATTATGTTATAAGTATTGCTATATTTTGATTTCAGAAAATGAAGGAAGAAGGGGACTCAACTCTTGAACTACCACCTGTGGAGTATTACATGGGCTGTTTCTGTCATCCAAGAACCAAACTGTTCCATAATCTCTACCATTTTGGTCATAACATTTATCATAAATGCAAGGAATTGGTAAATATTGTGTGCCTTATTCTATTATATATGGCCAATCACATTCATGCAAATTTTGTTGACTTTTCTTTGTTGTACTAAAGTGCAACACTTTCCCAAAATAATTAAAACCTTAAATCTTCTTCCACTGGTAAAGATGGAAGTTTAGTTATACATGTATCAATTTTTACAGTTTTGTAGCGAGTAGAAAGTCCAAACTGCCCTTTCAGCTCTCCCAACCTGTTCTGTCTTTTGTCATTTTTTTTCCCACAAGATTTTTAAAATCTGCAGCAGACCTTAATATTAAACAAATGTAAATCCATTCTGCACACAGAAATTTTGTAACTTAAGTTGCTAGGGTTACTTCCCCTCGATATTATGGTAAGAATGTTTAGATTACCACTTGTTAATATCAGTGTTTTTATTTTGATATTTTAGTTGGAGGAATATGACGACAATGATGAGAAAAAAATTGATAAAGTGGCAACAGATCCATCCTTGTTCAAGGAGGTAAATAAATGAATCTGTTTTGATTAACATGTTTTACAAATTTTATGTCCTATATTTTAAATGAATACATAATTTGATTGCCGTATGTTTTGAGTGTTTTCCAAATTGTATATATATTTTTAGATATAAACTCTATTTTAATGCCATGTGAATCTGATTGAGATGTATACCAACATTAATGCCATATCTTTATCCCAAATTATGTCATATGTTTTAACCCATGAGCATTTTGTAAAAAAAAGCTGTTTTCATTGAAAAGCCTCCTGTAACAAGTTCAAATTGCTATGAAACTATAAAAAAAAGGCTTCAATACTGTTCAAACTTGGCACAAATGTTGACTGGACCATAGCCTTTGTAACAGCATACTCAATCTTAAATTTCCTGTTACCATGGCAACAAGGGGACATCTCAAAATTGCCAAAAATCACTATTTTGCGTTGATTTTTCCATCAAAACTGATTTCAAAGTGCTGCAACTTCTCAATGGTTTGAGATAGAGTCAAAGGCTTTTCAGCGTTGGTTACACATTACCTTAAGGTCAACCTGAGGCCATTTTTAGCCTCTCACAAGTCCAAAATTTTCTTGGAGATGAGATATTGTAACAAATTTTAGATGTTACGTTGTGTCGAATATTTATATCAAATATTTCAGATGTCTTCCAAATTGAAGAAGTATATGAAAGAGGCAGAGGAAGATTATCTGACTGCGGATGGGGAGCGAGGAAACAGTAAATGGACGCGAGAATATAATTGGTAACACAGGACGCATTTTATGCCGGGACTGTATCATTATTTCTGTAAATGACAGCTAACATAAGTCAAAATATGTTTGTTTCTTATTGGATGAAGCAGAACTGAGAATGATTTTATTTTAAGTATTTACTTATTTGTATGAAAAAAAATATGTTTAACTCAAATCTGTAAATCCGTATCTCCTAGTCAACTTCAGAGAGTGAGACTGAAATGTCATTTTGTTAACATCATTGTCACTTTTGTATAAGTACAAGCAACATTTTTCATAGGCATTGGTACTAGAAGGGTTGTATTGTAATGTTTTGTTATCTCAAGTGGATTACAATATTTTTAAACCAAAAACTTTTCAATTTTTTAGAAAAATATAAATTCATTGAAAATGTTTATATAGTTAGTTATTTTGTTTTTTTTGTTTACTTTTATTTTATGCTTTATTTTATATACGCTCTGTTGATTATATGTTAATTTTTAGCCCTTATCCTAATGAATTGTGTTAATGGACTTTCCCTGTTTTGACTTTGGGACTGTTCATTTAAAGTTAAAGGCATTTGATTATCTAAATACACAAATAAAGCTACTAACATTGTAGTGCCTGGTCAGACTGCACTTAGGTGCATGCTGGCCTGGCTCTAGACTGGTTGTAAGGTCCAGTCACTTCTGATTCCAGAAAGTTAAGGGTTAAAGCTACAATACACCCCAAAGTGTTCATATCTTAAGTATTAAATGTGTTCAAATAGTCTATGCCCTATTCTCAACTTCCATGTTTTTAGAATTTCATATGAATTATTTTGTATTTTTGGTTTGCAACTGTGTCTTTCCATCTATTGCTGAAGAATTTTTTATTTTGTTTTTCAGTCCCCTTCTGGTGTTTCAATAAAGATGACTTAAGTTTGCCCACTGTTTTATTGGCTTTAAGTCTGTCTGTTTGTTATTCAGGCTGAAATCTGGTTGAAGTTTGGCTTTAAAAGATACCAAAATGTACACCCTAAAATTATAAACAATGTACTATGGAGATTGTTCAGGTCTTTTTTTTACTTTTTTTCCTTTGGTCAGAATTCCGGAAGCCGAATAAACAACAAAGCTTTAAATATTTGATGAATGCCTTTTCTGTATTTAGTCAAAAATACATTTGTTGCTATGGTAACAGAAATAGAAAAAAATGCAATTAAATAATGAGGCTAGGCTGATTAAATTTGATATACATGCATGTAATTATTAACATGTAACAACACTATCATTTCAAATGTATTTCATTTATTTTAGAAGATCATGCAGTGATGTTGCTGTGTTTATAAATTATCTCGAAAAATATGGCGTCTTACTGACAATGTGGGGCCAGTAGGGGACTTATATATTGCTTGCAACATCAGTGACATGTGGTTCTTTAATACATATTTTATAAAGTTAATATTTTTTGTTATGGAATGAAATGTTTCATATAGAAGTTGTTGGATTTGAGTATTTATTAAACAATTCATTTTATAGTAAGATATATAGTTTAAGATATTAAAAGTATTTATCTGCTGCCATATTGTTTTTTGAAGTTTATTTTTGACAGATTAATGGGTACATGTATTTTGCATATTTGTTTGGGAGTTATTTTTGCTTTGGACAGATGATGTTCATGTCTACTTCGAGATGGAATTTAAAACTAAAGTTCTAGTCCAAGTTTTAAAATGTCTGCATGTTACGCAGCATGTTTACGAGGTCATAATTTTACAATGTGTGATGGGTTACGTACAGTTACTGTGTATGGCAATTGTCACTTCTTTACAAGTTGAGCAATAAATAATTATAAAAATAATCATCATTAAATTAATAATTATATGCCATCATAAATCTGTAGTAGAATAAAAATGGTTAGTTTAATCTTAAGTTTGTATAGACAAAAGTTTGTATAGATGAAAGTTTGTATAGATAAACTTTGGTATAGATAAAAACTGTCCAGGATATACTCAGTGCTCTATTTTTTATCAGGTAAATTATTTTAGGGCATTTTTTACAGGGTACTCATTCTAAAAATAGTCCAGATAGAGTTTTAGGGTTCATTCAATTTTGAAAAATGGAATGAATTTCAATGTTTTAATATCTGTCATTTGCTAAGAAGTATTTTCAATGTTTGAAAAATTAATTAACCCAATCGTGTGGAGAAACCTGTACATGTATGTTGCTTTTATGTATGTAACTATATTTGATGTATTTGTTAAGGATTTAAGAAATTTAGATCAAAGTATTTTTTTAGAAGACTTTAGTACTTGAACTGCATGCCCATATTCATTGAATATTAAACCCACCAAAATTGTGTTTGTACATTTAAAGAAGATTTGATGTTAAAATATTTTGTTATGTGAAATTCATGTTAAATGAGCCGCGCAATTACAAAACCAACATAATGGGTTTGCGACCAGCATGGATCCAGACCAGCCTGCGCATCCGCGCAGTCTGATCAAGATCCATGCTGTTCGCTTACATACTCTATAACAAGTAGAGAAACTGATAGCAAACAGCATGGATCCTGATCAGTATGCACGGATGGGCAGTCTGGTCTTGATCAAACCCATTATGTTGGTTTTGCCGTGACGCGGCTCAAATGTTTTATTATGTGCTTTAGTTACACATGTAGATAGGTGTCAAAATATTGTATGTAGAATTTTTATTATGGCACATAATATGTATGACACAATTTTAAATGCAGATCTCTTTGTATATAACTGTATACTTGTCCATCTGTCAAAATTACATCTAATGAAATCTCTATAATTTGAACCAAGTTCAAATATTATAGTTGTCAGGACTGCATGAGTTTTATTATGTCATTTTAATGGTGTCAAAAAATTCGTAAGATAATATGATTATCAATCATTGTAAGTACATGTAGTATTTCATTGTTGTTGTTGTTTCTAGGTTGAGCAGCAGTTTGCTACAGCATTAACCTTTCTTTAACACTAAGCCTGGATCTTTATTTTTTTCCAAATTGAAGCTATCCAGCTACTTTACAGAACATTGGTGTTCTCCTCAGGTGCCAGTTTGTGCTTGAAATAATGCACGGAAATTGCACCTGAGGTCTTCCTCCAACAGTAAAGCTAATAAGTCGCCATATGACCTATACTGTGTTGGTGCGACATAAAACCCAACCAAAACACATACAAAATAAACTTGTATATATTCAGCTGCCATAATGTATTGTAACCATTTGTGTTTTTGTCAGTGATATGTTTTGGTGATATTACATACGAACATCTGTTAAATGAGCCGCGTCATGACAAAACTAACATAATGGGTTTGCGACCAGCATGGATCCAGACCAGCCTGCGCATCCGCGCAGTCTGATCAGGATCCACGCTGTTTGCTATCAGTTTCTCTACTTGTTATAGAGTTTGTAAGCGAACAGCATGAATCCTGATCAGACTGCGCGGATGGTCTTGATCCATGCTGGTCGCAAACCCACTATGTTGTTTGTCGTGAAGCGGCTCAAATAAAGAATTAAGTCCACACGGTTCATTACACTATTAATGTAAAGAAAATTAGCATGTCAAACGTTAATTTTGTGATTTTATTGTGCAATCATTTCATTGTAGTATTTATTCTTTAATATATTATTAACTAGCGGAAAATTAGTTTTAAAAAATTGTTTTAAAGTTTTTTTTAAAAAATCATGTTTAAAGTTTAAGAAAGTGTTAAAATATGTTTTACATTTTAGCTTTTAAAGCTGCATGCCTCCAGATGAATAAAAATATTTCAAGAAATTCAAACTTGAGAAAAAGTACTTTGATTTATAAGAACAATAAAAAATATTCAAGACTTAAGTAATAGTTTCCATGTAATCGGCGATTTGTGATCGATTTTGCAGTAGTTTTGACCATATTTTTACTGCGTTACTAACGCAGTAAAGGCTATTTTTGCATATTTTGATCTCTTTTTTGCTGATTTACATGGGTTGTAAGTGCTGTATCCAACGTGAAAATTATTTTCTTTGTTCACTTGACAATATTTTACTTTTTAAAACATTTTCAAAATTTTCATGAAAATTTGCATGAATCTGGAGGCGTGCTGCTTTAATCTATGTGTTTTAGATAGGATGAATCCAGTCAACTTGTGTCTATAATGAATTTCTCACAAGTATTAAGACAAACAAGCAATTTTATAAAATGAACTTTAAATTAAAATTTTTATCTGTATACAAAAGTTAAGATATCCATATATATAATTAATATATTCATATATTTGTAATTTGTTATATATATATTCATATATTTGTCATTTTTGTAATTTGTTTATTAATATTGTAATATTATGATAATGAACTTCCAGTTTTAATGAGTTTTATTGTTATTATCAAAATTCCATACATTTTGTATTAATTAGATAAAAAAATAATTCGGGAGCCTGGCAGAGGGTTAATTCCTGTAGGCTTACCCTGAAACTGTTGAATTTCTTATATGGACTTGCCCAGCTTTCATTTTGGGAACTGAGCATTGATATTTAGTTAAAAATTTTAAAGTAAGTGAGCCAACAGTAAAGAGCTTGGTCAAATTGCACATATGTGTGTGTATTTAAGTTTATTTTTACTTACCACCGGTTGCCCATATGGGCGAGTCCTCCAAAAGAGTATTAGTCATTTTATATTTTAGGACAATAGTGCAAGACACAGATACAAAAAGATGCCCCAATGCCAGAAGCTTCTCCTAGCTTAAGCATGCCAAGTGTTTAAGCACTCATACCAGGGACCTTAATTTAAAGTCTCATCCAAAAGACTGATTAGTAATTTTAGTTGGCCAACCTGGGAATCAAACCCACATACATGTAGTTGAGATTGCAAGTCAGGCACTCTATCCGATTGAGCTATATGGACTGGATTCTTCACATATGTGCAGACAGGTCCTGCTTTACACTTATGGCATGTAATTATGGTAGGGAGGGTAGAGGAGTACTTACTTTTTACTCCTGTTAGTTTAACACAAGGCTCACTGTTTATTGATACTTTAGCTTGATTTTTACAAAGTCAATCAAAACATAACAGGACCTTTTTTTTAAAGGTCAATACAACCTTATTATTATAATAAAGTTGATTTGTATTTATGTACTTAGTTTTTACCAGTCAAACAGTCAATATCACTAGCTTTTCCCTTGAAATTGGTTGGTCATAAAGACATTTCAAAAGTATATTTGTAAAAAGTATATATTACATGTAGATGCATTTTACATGTATTTCCGACAATATTTATAACTTGTTAAAGGGTAGATTTCTATTTATTAAAGTGACTGTGGGTGAAAGTGTTACTCAGGCATCACAATCCTGGTACCAGAATCAATTAGTTCCAGGAAGTGGACCTTAAACTTGTCTTCATTCTTCCTTAAGCTACATAAAGACTAAACACTGGTTTATATAACCTTTAGCCTGCAAGTGGCAACAGAATCTACCCATATGACCAATGCAGACCAACATCATCCACACATCTGCTATTCGGTCAGTACATATTTTGAAATTCTCCCTAAATGTGATGAATGGTTTTGTCCCGATTGAAACATGAGCAAGTCCATTTAAGATATTCTGGTGTGATAAGGGTTAAACTTTTTTTATCATCTTAGTTAATTCTAACTTAAAGTGTTCAGATATGTACCTATCACAAATCATCTGTTATTTCGTATCATTAGTGAAAATCTCAGTGCTACATTAGTTTCTGCAAGAACTACAATTACATATTTCGAATGGGTATTTTAAAATTAAATGCATTATTATATACAAAATAATCACTGTATATTGTAGACTGAACATTTTCTCATCATATTGTTAAAGAGTTTTAAATTCTTTTATTTGATATTTAGATTGTAGATAGTTAGATCATTTACAGAATTATAAAAAAAAAAAAAAAAAATTACAATGTTGTCTTTTTTAGTTTGCCTATTAGAAGATAGCTCGTCTATTAGAAAAGTAGCTGAGCTATCATACTCACCGGACAGATCTATGTTTGTGTCAGTAATTGCATTGGCATTACACTTGGTAATTTTTTACATGCATCATCATGTCTTGTAGCTCTGGTATGGATTTTGACTGAATACTCTCAAGTGTCAATCTCCACAACTACCGCAAGTACTCAACTTTAAACTTCACAATTGTCATTGGGATCATAATGATTGGTCACTGTTTCAGATCTTCATTTCTATCATGGACTTGAATTATAGTCCTTTGTGAACTTAGAAAATAACTTGTTATGGTTTTGCATGAGGGATCAAATTCTGCACTACTGAAGATATTCCCCTTGTGGCTAAGGGGTATCCATGCGTGATTGTTAGAGGCGACTAAATGGGTTCGAATTACTGGAGTCTAACTAGACTAAGTTTTTTTTACCAGAGAAATGTAGGTCACTGTCAAAGACTTTCAGGTTAAGCATGGATGGGATTTGACTAAATTATACCCTATTGCGCACTTACACAAATTCTAGCATTGCACAGTCTTTGTTTTAATCAATCTCTGAGAACAGCTCAAATTTAGTATTGATATGTGCAAAACAGTTTCCTTCTTTAAACAAACAAGTCTGACTTCTGCAGCATTTTGACAACAAGGACAGCCAATATACATAGTTGCTTTGATGTCTATAATAAAGAATGGTAAGTCCTCTCTAGAAGAGCTGGTCGGATTTACTTATTATTTTCTTTATATCATTCAGGCGATGTCTTTTGTATATTTGTTTTGTATTATGACCAAATGGTCCCCTTTTATAAAAGGACCACCAGAGCTGAAAATAGAAAAGTTTCATGATCATCACCAAATGTAGACAGACTAACTATAGCATTATAAGGTAGTTTTCCTTAATGTGTGTTCAAGGACACTTTTCGTTAGCACTGCAAGCATCTTTAAATGTCTTCTCATGAATCAATGAATGGTCCAACATTGCCAAAGATTTTAGTGACAATGTAGTTGTAAACAAATAACACCTGATAAAAACACAACACATTTTTTTCTGGCCACTAGGCTCGCTACAGTTTGATATGCATAAATGATCTGTTGATGTAAATGCTACAATTGGCACAGAATCTGCGTACTTAACTATTGAAAAACTTGTTTGTTAATACCATTTAGAGCCAGTTTGGTGAATGACACTTTACTTTGACTATTCAAGAACAAAGAATATTTGGGCTATCCTACTCCCTTGCAGTTCTTGTACAATATCACAGTGCTAAAGATATTACTTTGACTTGTAACTAAATTATCACATGTCTTCAATTTTATTGTCCCCGCCTTTTCGAAGAAAAAAGGGGGATATAGAAATAGGCTCCGTCCGTCCGTCACACTTTCGTGTCCGGTCCAGAACTTTGTCATTTATGAAAGGAATTTGAAATAACTTGGCACAAATGTTTATTATAATAAGACAATGTGTCATGCTCAACAACCAGACCACTACCTACAGGGTCAAGGTCACACTTGCTCATTCAAGGTCAACATTGTCTATTTGAGGGTATATGTCGTGTCCGTCCATAACTTTCTTATCTATGAAGGGATTTTGTAAATACTTGCCATAATTGTTCACAATAATCAGACGATGTGTCATGTGCAAAAACCAGTCACCTACCTTCAAGGTCAAGGTCACACTTAGAGGTCAAATATTAACATAGTCTGTTACAGGGTATATTTCGTGTCCGGTCCATAACTTTGTCATTTATCAAAAGAATTTGAAATAACTTCGCACAAATGTTTGTTATAATAAGACGATGTGTCATGCACAACAACCAGACCCCTACCTCCAGGGTCAAGGTCGCACTTGCTCATTCAAGGTCAACATTGTCTATTTGAGGGTATATGTTGTGTCTGGTCCATAACTTTCTTATCTATGAAGGAATTTTGTAAATACTTGCCATAATTGTTCACAATAATCAGACAATGTGTCATGCACAAAAACCAGTCACCTACCTTCAAGGTCAACGTCAGACTTGGAGGTCAAATACTTACATAGTCTGTTCCTTGGTAATTATTTTGTGTCCGGTCCATAACTTTTTCATAGATCAAAGGATTTTGAAAATATTTCGCACAAATAGTCACTATAATAAGAGGATGTGTCATGCGCAACACCTGCATCCCTACCTCCAAGGTCAAGGTCACACTTAGAGGTAAAAAATTAACATAGTCTGTTATAGGGTATATTTTGTGTCGGATCTAGAACTTCTTCGTAGTTCAAGGGATTTTGAAATAACTTGGCACAAATAGTCACAATAATAAGACCATATGTCAAGTACAACACCTGCATCCCTACCTCCAAGGTCAAGGTCACAATTTGAGGTCAAAGGTTAACAGAGTCTGTTATTTGGTATATTTTGTGTCCCGTCCATTACTTCTTCATAGATTAAGGGATTTTGAAAATACTTGGCACAAATGGTCACAATGATTAGATGATATGTCATGCGTAACATCTGTGTCCCTACCTCCAAGGTCAAGGTCACACTTAGAGGTCAAAGATTTACATAGTCTGTTTTAGGGTATATTTTGTGTTCAATCTATAACTTCTTCATAGTTCAAGGGATTTTGAAAATACTCTGCACAAATAGTCTCAATAATAAGACGTTATGTCATGTACAACACCTGCATTCCTACCTCCAAAGTCAAGGTCAATACTCTGCACAAATAGTCTCAATAATAAGACGTTATGTCATGTACAACACCTGCATTCCTACCTCCAAAGTCAAGGTCACACTTAGAGGTCAAAGCTTTACATGATAGATTTTTAAATTCCGTGTTTCATTTTATTTTTTTAACAAATTTATTGTTGCATTTGCAGATCTAGCATTGATCATAATTTTGGACTGAATGTCCTGAGATCCATACCTCAATCTTTTGAAATAGCACAATTTTATGCATCATATAAAACTTCCCGAGGCGGGGGACGTTGGTAACTCTGTTACAAACTCTTGTTCATATACATATGTAATAAATTGAAGGTTACTATCCAAGTCTTACTGACTCTGACATGGATTTTAATTAAGCAAGTTTTGCATGCTGTCAAATCTTAAAAACTCTTGAGGGTTTTTCATTTGAACCTTAACACATGTCTTGAGGATTATAATAGGAAATAACTGTCCAAGGTCTATAACTCTGGTATGAATTAAATGACTTTATTGAGACTTGATGGTACACAGGATGTTTTTTATTCATTCACATCAAAATTGAATCAAAACAAGTTGATGACTGAAACAGATGTCCCACTTAGTTAAAATGTTAAAAATTGCTTAGAATTTTAAGGCTTATTTATTGAGCAAGGAAGAGTCCTTGTCTAACCCCCAAATGTCTGTGAATTTTGAATGAATTATGGCATTTATGTGAACTTTAACTATCAACAGGAATATATATGCATTTTTGTTTGTTTATAAACCTCTCTGCTAACACCCTTAAGGTTGTCCTCTTATTTAAAGTAACAATATCCTTTGCGCTTCTAGAGAAACCTTTAGGTTGATTATTTCTCTTTCTGGTAATTACAGGAACCCGTCAATTAATGGCCGACAAGAAGTTAAGTTGATGGATCCGATACAAGGGTTTTTATTTTGGAGATTAACCTTTTTTCTTGCTGTTGAATTACAGTTTATTGATTTGGGTTGTAAGTGAATTATTTATACTTTATATACATAGAACGATTAGCAATAGATGATGAAGTAAAACAATGTGGTAGACTCCAGTTTCTTTAATTTTGACTGGGACATAAGATAACTTTTTATCTTATGTCCCAGATTTTGATGATGAACCTGTTTGCTGCTTCACGTCTTCAGACATCAGTAGGCCTACTTGCATAATTTTTTTCATGCGCGGTTCTTATTAAATTTATAAAAGAGAATACCCATTGCCTATGTGGCACATATCACAGTGTAAGCTTTTTTATGACCTGATATATTGCTTGCTATGCTTCACCACTTATTCATGCAACATGCCTGTGGTTTTCATTCTGTCTACAGATGAGTCATTTTATCAGGTCTTGTTTATAGCCAGATTAGTGCATAATGCACCGTTATGTGTGCGATGCACTTATTGACCTTTTCGAAAACCTAGCTAAACACCGTTTTCCGGTACATTACGGATTTAGCTCTGGGGAATTACACCAAATGAAGTACATAACACAGTTACATGATATTTCTATTTTTCTATCATTATTTTACTGTTTAAGGTGAACAAAATTAATGTCTGAAAATTATCAATTTTCCTTGAATATCTATTGCAAATTATTCAAATAAACAATTTTTTTATAATGAAAATCAATAAAATTCAAACAGACAGTGGAATCTTCGATAGTAAATAAGGTTATTTTCTGCGTAAACTTGTGTATTTACTTTCTTTTTTTATGGAATTATTCATATAATGATATTTAAATAAATTATTTTCTTATAAAGAATTAAGTGTATTTCAGTTTAGTTTAAAAAAAGGCCGAAAACATTGACTTCGCTATTACACTCCATTACGTGAATTCCCCAGAGCTATGTACAGAAAGTACCGGAAAACGGCGTTTAGCTAGGTTTTCGAATTCGTGAATAAAATTTAAACGGACTGAGTGGAATCTTCATAATAAGTAAGGTTATTTTCTGCGTAAACTTGTGTATCTACTTTATTTTCTGTATGGAATTATTCATACAATGATATTTAATTATTTTCTTATAAAGAAATAACTGTTTTATTTCAATTTAATTCAAAAAAGGCCGAAAACATCGAGTTCGCTATTACACTCGATTAGGTGAATTCCCCAGAGCTATGTACAGACAGTACCGGAAAACGGCGTTAAGCTAGGTTTTCGAATTCGTGAATTGGTGTATTTTAAAATGCACCAATTGGTTTACCAGTCTAACATGCACATCTAATTCTTTGAATCATTGTAAATAGGCCTATAGCAGAGCGAATAATGGCACCTTCACTTACTATAGTCTATACAACAGCTTACTATACTAAAGATAATGTTATATATGATATTAGGCAAAGCCATTATGAAGTTGATTGGGGAAGTTGGTTAAAAAAAGGTTTATATTTCTGTTTTGGAAGTAGCTTGCCGTACAGGCCTGTACGGCTAGCCAAAAGTTCTAGCTGTATGTGAGTCACGTACGACTAGCCAGGACACAATGCATTGTCTAGCCGTACGACACTTTTCAAAATTATATGGAAGTCGAACATGCATATGTTATTTTGTGCCTCATGATTATGATTTGTTGTTTTATTTGTATGAAAGATGAATGTTTGTTTATTAAGCACATGGATCGAATAAATAATGATAGGAGTGGGATAAATAAAAAAACATTGGAAAAAAAGTGGTGAAAAGCAAAAAATAATTGTATAATTTTTGAAATACAGTAGATAAATATCGATCAATTAATTAGCCTTAATTAAAGCCTACTAAGGGACTGATAATAGAATTTTAAAATGCGTTTCATGGAACATGCAAACTTTCCTTAATGATGGACAAACTTCTATACCGTCGGTAATTGACGCAATTATCAGAGCCCAACAACAATAATTTTCGCTTTTTGTTTCATTTTAAAGGTGTCGAAAATTAAACTTAATGAAACAAAAAAGGACTATTATCAAAATTTTGTAAACTATTTCAATTGGTGTTATTTAACTGCTACCAAGCGCTATTTTTTCTCGACGTCTTGAGATGACAAAGATCGATATTCATACTTTTTTACTGTAGCCAACAAGGCGATTAATCTTGAAAAAGTAAACATACGAAGACAATTGCTGTTTCTTGGTTAAAATCCTCGCTTAAAGTCATAAAATAACATATGCATTTTCGACTTCCATATAATTTTGAAAATGCTGTACAGCTAGCCAATACAGTGAGTCCTTGCTAGTCGTACGGGCCCGTACGGCTAGTCAAAAGTTCTAGCCGTACGTGAGTCACGTACGACTTCCTTCTGTTTTAAAGGTGTAATTCGGTATTTCATGCTCCACTTTCGTTATTAATCAGAAAACCTAGACAATTATTATTTAACTAAATCGTTGTGATCGTTCTATTATCAGAATATCCCCGCCTATTTTCATTGAGTTACATTGATAGTGTATCATACACTAATCTGGAGATATACTAGACCTATTTATCTGAGTTATTAAGTCTCAGTTTATATCAGTCACTATATTTGGAGGTGAAGATGTGGAAGCAGCCAGATAGCACAGTAGGTAGAGCGGCAGAACTGTATTCCGAGATCCCAGGTTTGAGTCTTGGTCACGCTGCACATTTTTCTCACCCTGTGACATTTGGCGGCCATCCTGGGAGCTTGTCAAAAGTATTTATGCATAAAACGCGGATTTGAAGCTCTAGTTTACATTGTAATTGTTAAAACAATTGAAATATGTTTTAGAGATTTGATTATGTTACCAAGATGAAATATATCTCTGTGATTGTTTACATGAATATATGTGAGCAAATACATGTATTTGACAAATAATTTTAGAGATAGTATAATGTAATGAATCATAAATGCTTGTTTTATTTTCAGCTTCCACGCAGTTAGCTGATCCTTACATTTATACGAAGCCACCCTGTCCGGATTTTATTTGTAGATACCAGATTCGTTTACCATGTCAGTATAGATGTGATGGTCAGTTAGATTGCCCAACTGGTGAAGATGAGAAAGATTGCCCATTCATTCAAAATCAAAGTATATAACTTTTTTTTTATATGCAGTAGAACTTCTATGAGTCAAACTTTTATAAGTCATTTTCTCGATGTGTCTAAGTATGTTAAAAATAGATAAAAAATAGGACTTAGCTAATGTCAAGTTTCTTTATCTGTAGAAAATGCATGCATAAAAGATAAGCTGTTTTCCAAGGTTTTTTAATACTGTTAAAAGCAATCTTTTTTCTATATAAAATATGATGAAAATAATGCTACAAAGTATAAATACAGAATTTTCAGGACTTTGATATTTTTAATTTCTACTCATATATTCTTTGCATTCATTTCTGAGAAATTCACATATCTGTTTGTTTTTCTTTTGTATTTCTAAACAGTACATGTGCATTTGTATTTGTAAATTACAAATCAGCAATTGTATATAATGTAAAACTCTGTAAAAGCTGCTTTTAAGCATAGTCTTATATTGTGATCTGTTTTTAAAGTCTTTCTATTATAATGTTGTTTCCTGTCTTTTTTCCATAGCTCCAAAGGTTTTTGAAGGCCTTTATTTAAATATCACACCAGAACATGTTGTCGTTCAACAAGGCCAAGTAGCGGAAGTCAATTGTTCAACTAAGGATATTACTGCACCTATCAAAGACTTCAAATGGCAAGCTTTAGGTACCTTTAAATAATTTGTGTCAAAAGCCAGTTTGCAGTCTTTTTATTAAGAATAAATACTTAAAATGTGATAAAGGAATGATAAGTAAGCTTCTTACCCTTGGACCACAGGCTTCATGGAGAAATCAAAAGTTAACCAAATGATTCTATATTTAGAATTACCATTAGGGTTTTAATCGGTAACATCATAAGATACTCTTGCAGTTCTTAAGTGTTTGTTTCATTCTACCACTATGCTTGTTTTTTGTTTGTGTATACAGTAGTTTATTGCTTAAATGAATTTGCGACATTTGTTTGCCTAGAAGCTATAGTTCTGAACACAATAATTATAAATGAAAAAGTAAAATTTTTAAAATACGAATGGATCTGGGATGCACAAGATCTGTATAAAAGAACTTTAGCAGGCTTTTCTGCTTAAAACAACGTGATTTTAGCTGTCAACCATTAAACAGTTTGCATTTGCATTATCGGCCATGCTGGCACAAAATTTTGAAAACAAAAGTATTTTCCCATTGATATATCATACAATGTATACAAGTCATGTATCGTTTGAATTATTTTCCAGGAAATGAAATAAAAGACTATATGTTCAAACAGATACAGCTTGAGAAATATGTCATAAAATTGCTGATACCTAATGCCCAACCAGAGAACTCGGGTACATATAGATGTAAGCTTCATACAGCTGATGGTCAGCATGCTAGTAAGGTTATTCAGATATGGGTCAACAGAACTGGTAATTATGCTTTATTTTTATGCTATATTTAATGTATCATCACGTGTCTGCACCTGCCTGAAATGAGGTAGCATTACAATTTTTGGCACTGAAATTTTTATAATTTGGCTACAGACATTGTAATTTGGCAACAGTTTGGCTGCAGAACTTGTAATTTGGCAACAGTTTGGCTATAGAACTTGTAATTTGGCAACAGTTTGGCTACAGAAATTGTAATTTGGCAACAGTTTGGCTGCAGAACTTGTAATTTGGCAACAGTTTGGCTGCAGAACTTGTAATTTGGCAACAGTTTTGCTACAGAAATTGTAATTTGGCAACAGTTTGGCTACATTACTTGTAATTTGGCAACAGTTTGGCTACATAACTTGTAATTTGGCTGCAGAACTTGTAATTTGGCAACAGTTTGGCTACAGAAATTGTAATTTGGCAACAGTTTGGCTGCAGAACTTGTAATTTGGCAACAGTTTTGCTACAGAAATTGTAATTTGGCAACAGTTTGGCTACATAACTTGTAATTTGGCAACAGTTTGGCTACATAACTTGTAATTTGGCAACAGTTTGGCTACAGAACTTGTAATTTGGCAACAGTTTGGCTGCAGAACTTGTAATTTGGCAACAGTTTGGCTGCAGAACTTGTAATTTGGCAACAGTTTGGCTGCACAACTTGTAATTTGGCAACAGTTTGGCTGCACAACTTGTAATTTGGCAACAGTTTGGCTACAGAAATTAGTTTGGCGACAGGATTTCTTAACCATGCTTTGCTATTTTGATAAAATTTTGTATGAAATCAGAAAAAGTCACTGACTATGTTAAAAGAAATTTTTAATCAGAGTAAACCTTTGTCTATGATGGAGTGCTTCATTTTCAAGTAATGCTAGAAAATCACCATAAGGCCTTATCTTGATACTTGTTAAATGCATTGTAGTTTATCATGAAATATAAGTAGTTACTTGCTGTACTTTGACCATCATGTAGTCAGAATCCAAGATGGAACGCAAAATGAAACATGCATTGTTGTTTAAGTTCAAAAATGCATTTTCTTTGCATCAAGAAATGCACTTAAATTTGCAAAGGAATGTACATGGAAGCAAATCTTAAGATATTGTTACAATGTCAAACTTGTATAATTTACAACTTGTTGTATATGTTTTTACTTAGATGGAGGCACAGTTAAATTTTTTTTTTAATAAGATAGGTTTTCATACATTTTAAAATATGAAAAAAAATCACATTTTTATCTCCTTCCGTTTCAGCGGACCTTCAACTAAGTGTTGAACCTACAAGACATTTTGTGAATCCATTATTTGTTACTAGAGGGGAGACCATACGAGTCAACTGTTCTGCCAAAGACCTAAAAGTTCCGATTGTCAGCCTGAGATGGGAAGGAGAAGCTGGTATGTAATGTTTTTTATTACACTGTCTTCAGATGTGTGTCTGCCCTTCAAGCTCAATAGGGAGAGCACCCGATAAGTAATCCAAGGGTTGCTGGTTTGATCCTTGGGCGAGGCAAATTTTACAAGGCTCTGCCGAGTTTCCGCTAAACAGTTAGCAATGACATCATTTAAAGCATGCAACTTGTCTTACATGGGGGGAATGTGTAAGAAAGAGTTTTCTAGCACCTGTGTAAACAGTAGATAATCTTGTGTGATATGCAAGAAAAAATGATACTCCTAACTTTTTGAAATGTTATGACCAGAAATAAACAAATTAGGAGAACAATTGGTAATTTATATTGATATAATTAGATGGCTTTTTTACATCACAGCAATCCTATGTTTTAATACTTTGTTATTGCTTTTCATCTTAGCAACTTTAATTATGTGCGTCAGTTACAGAAAGAAGGCTTCTTACTTCTTACATACACTTGGACATATTCTTTATTTGCTGAGGCAAATGGGATTTGGTGAACTGGGTTTAAATGTGATTTGAACTTGAACTTGTAGAGGGTTTTCTTTGGAAAATTTATGTAAAATTTTAACCCATAAACTGTTGACCTCAAAAATGATAAATCTTTGCAAAGTCAGCTTAAATATAGCCTGACCGCTTGTTGTATTTTGAAAATTGAAATCCCTTTAACTTTGAATGGACTGTACAAAATTAAAAACTGGAAAAATCCATTTCACAGGTTAAGGATAAACTGACTTCATTAAAGAAACATGTAAATGCTAATCTACAGTTGTTTTTATTATGCACGAATGTGAATTTATTCTCTTTAAAATGAGAACTAAGGAGTTAATTGTTTTAACCCTTAATTTGCTGATTAGCCTTTGCCACCAGTAATGACCAGTATAGAGCCAAGGCCAGCCTGCACATCCATGCAGTCTGTCTGACCATGCTCTATACTGTTGGTAGCTCAATTTTTGTATTTTGATATTGAAATCCCTTGAACTTTGAATGGACTGTTCCAAATTCAAAGTGGGACAGATCCATTATAGAAATATAGCAGGTTAATTGTTTTAAGTTTTAACATTTCAGGTGGCCGAGCTGATTCATTAGGGAATGTCAGACAGATTCATTACAATGAAAGCATAGTCTCATTACATGTATCTCAGGTAGACTTAAAGAATACAGGAACTTATGTTTGTAAACTGTTCACAACTTTTGGTGTGACTGCAGCTATAAAGTTACAATTACGAGTAACAGGTGAGAATTTTGAAAGGAATGGTACAGCTCTCCCTTGTGATTTAATGTTTTATCTTATTTGATAACCAATGAAATTGATAGATCCCTACTCTGACCTTTCATTTGAATAACAATAGATTTAACCATAAACATTGACATGTGCTCTTTTGTTAACAAATATGTTGTGGTGAAGTTCTGAATGTATCCTTTAATCTGTTTTTTTTATAACAAATATGTTGTATATTAATGTATCCACTAATCTGATGATTAGAATTAGACAGGTCAGGGATCTATGCATTGCTTCAAATATGTAAACTTCATTGGTTGTTCTCATTTGTTAAAATAGGCTACAAAATGATTATTTTAGTGCTTGAAATTATTTTTTGTTCACTAGTATTGTAATTGTATCATAACATATTTGCTTTGGTAAAATGGCTGTCTATCAAACTGTCTAGCACAAAAAGTGATTACCAACACTGAATTGGTTAGTGTTCATTAGTTAGCATTTACCACATTCTATTAGTTAGACGAGTGCATTTTTCTTGACCAATGCTTACAAATGAACACTAAACTATACAAAAAGTTTTAGTAAGAGCATGGGGCTTTGTTATCGTCATAGTTATGATGATACAGTGATTTTCCTTCTCTTCCCTTCCCAATTGAATTTTTCTTTAAAATCATGCAGCTTTCCCAAGAGTCTGAACTTACACCAGCTTTTTTACTTCCCACATTAACAAAACTTTGTAGAAAATAAAATAAAAATATATGTAATGTTTGTATCTTTTGGTTATTGTGGCATTCAATATGTTTAGATTTTGTGCTTGTAAAATAAGCCGGCAAAGGGCATGTGGTGTCTGGACAGTGTTCAGTTTTGTATATGCATGGAGGGATAATAGCATTACTTGATATAAGTTTTCATCCGTAAGAAATGTACTGCCGCGTGCATGAACCAGGTTTCTAGTTCAATCTTATCTTATACATATAAGGAAGGATAGCAGTATTATTTGATTCAAATGTTCATCATCATAAGTCCTATGTTTCGCGAATGAACTAGGTGCTAAGCTAGGCCAGAGGTCAAAGTCACAATTGTCAGAGGAAAGTGCTTGTCCAATGTGGGACTTCTACATACATCGCAGGAATGATTTATAACTTGGTACATATGCTCAACATTGTGAGGCATAATGTTGTGAATAAAATTAAGGTCCCTTTTGCCAAGGTCACTTGCAGGGGTCAAATTGAAAATGTGAATATTCATAAATTGTGGGATTTTAATGAAAATGTTCAGTATTGTATAACTTGGCATTTATGATGTGTATATTTTGTGACAAATGAGGCACTCTCTTTACCTTTTGGTTTAAATTTTCTGTTTTCTGACTCCTTTATACATTTTACATGTACTCTTGACAACCGCAATTTTATAAAAATGCATTTTCGGTAGTTTCAGATGTAAGTATAGCAGTGGCAAATACCGCCAAGTTTTGTCGACTTATTTGTAAGGACACTGTTGATAAACATACATTTATACATGTACCATGCCATTACAAGTGTGATGGTGTTCAGCACTGCCCTTGGGGAGAGGATGAACAAAATTGTCCAGGTAACTTCTTAATTTGCTGATCAGAACCTTAAGCTGATGTGTATGTATTAATCTAGGCTTATGAGGGTCCATCTGCCCTTTCAGGCACTGAGAGTACGGATCCCCAGACATGTCACCATTCATGTCCTTGAAAGTGATTATATGTAAAAAGTTGACCAATAAATTTTGTATCAGTAATGCACTGAATGATACTAAACATGTATGCAAGCTGATTTTTGTGACGTTTAATATTTAAAAGATGCATGGGAGACTAATGATACTATTATAATTATGCATCATGGAGAAGAATAAGGTTTTGCTGCCAAAATAAATTGTCATATCATTTGGATGAGCTTGACTGACTGATACGCTTACAGAAAATAGTTACTATATTTGGATATGTATTGTTATCATGATGAATACAACAAAATACGAACAAAATGTCATATCTTGACAAAGAAACATAGTTAACATTGAAAATGTAAGGATTTTATTAGTAAGGTCAATTGTTAAACGTTTGACATGGTTATAAGGTCGCCATATAAATAGTTAGCATTTTTTCTAACAGTGACACATACTAGGTGAAATGTCTGAGGATCTGAACTCTCAGTGCCTGAAGTGGCAGATGGACCCTCATTAAGCATATTTTCTAATTAGTACACCCTGACCCATACTAGTCGCTGTTCAGTCAGTAAATATTTTGAAATAAATATACACTAATTAGCAAACAGTGCAGACCATGATCAGTCAGCATGCATGTATGTGCCAGATTGTCTTGGTCTACATTGGTAGTGTGGGAAGACTCAATCAGCAGGCTCTCGGTTAATTAATTCTGTGTTTTATTAGAAGAAGATCATTTTGGTATGTTTGAACTAAAAATGAGTTTACAAAAATTGATTTAAATTATGTTAATTTAAACCAATTATAATAAGTATTAAATTATATGATTTCAATGAATAATTTGAACTAGTAGAATGAAATAAGTTTATATACTTTTTTCAAAACTATAAAAGAGGTAAACCTGTCTTTTTAGCTCACCTGTCACAAAGTGACAGGGTGAGCTTTTGTGATCGCTTTTCGTCCGGCGTCCGTCCGTCCGTCCGTCCGTCCGTAAACTTTTACTTTAAATGACATCTCCTCATAAACCACTAAGCCTATTTCATCCAAACTTCACAGGAATGTTCCTTTGGTGGTCATCTTTAAAAATTGTTCAAAGAATTTAATTCCATGCAGAACTCTGGTTGCCATGGCAACCGAAAGAAAAAACTTTAAATATCTTCTTTTAAAAAAGCATAAGAGCTAGAGCTTAGATATTTGGCATGAAACATCTTCTAGTGAGTGTCTACCAAGTTTGTTCAAGTAAAAGCCCTGGGGTCAAAATTGGCCCCGCCCCAGGGGGTCATTGAATTTCCTTATATGCATATAGTAAAAACTTGAAAAATCTTCTTTTAAAGAACCCAAAGAGCTAGAGCTAAGATATTTAGCATGAAACATGTTCTAATGGGTGTCTACCAAGTTTGTTCAAATAAAAGCCCTGGGGTCAAAATTGGCCCCGCCCCGGGGGGTCATTGATTTTCCCTATATGCATATAGTAAAAACTTAAAAAATCTTCTTTTAAAGAACTCAAAGAGCTATGGCTAAGATATTTAGCATGAAACATGTTCTAATAGGTGTCTACCAAGTTTGTTCAAATAAAAGCCCTGGGGTCAAAATTGGCCCCGCCCCAGGGGTCATTGATTTTCCCTATATGCATATAGTAAAAACTTAAAAAATCTTCTTTTAAAGAACCAAAGAGCTAGAGCTAAGATATTTAGCATGAAACATGTTCTAATGGGTGTCTACCAAGTTTGTTCAAATAAAAGCCCTGGGGTCAAAATTGGCCCAGCCCCGGGGGGTCATTGATTTTCCCTATATGCATATAGTAAAAACTTAAAAAATCTTCTTTTAAAGAACTCAAAGAGCTATGGCTAAGATATTTAGCATCAAACATGTTCTAATAGGTGTCTACCAAGTTTGTTCAAATAAAAGCCCTGGGGTCAAAATTGGCCCCGCCCCAGGGGGTCATTGATTTTCCCTATATGCATATAGTAAAAACTTAAAACCTTCTTTTAAAGAACCAAAAGAGTTAGAGCTAAGATATTTAGCATGAAACATGTTCTAATAAGTGTCTACCAAGTTTGTTCAAATAAAAGCCCTGGGGTCAAAATTGGCCCGCCCCGGGGGGTCATTGATTTTCCCTATATGCATATAGTAAAAACTTAAAAAATCTTCTTTTAAAGAACTCAAAGAGCTATGGCTAAGATATTTAGCATCAAACATGTTCTAATGGGTGTCTACCAAGTTTGTTCAAATAAAAGCCCTGGGGTCAAAATTGGCCCCGCCCCGGGGGTCATTGATTTTCCTTATATGTGTATAGCAAAAACTTAAAAAATCTTCTTTGAAAAAACCCAAATAGCTAGAGTTAAGATATTCAGCATGAAACATCTTTTAGTGAGTGTCTACAAAGTTTGTTCAAATAAAAGACCTGGGGTCAAAAATTGGCCCCGCCCCAGTGGGTCATTGATTTTCTTTATATGTGTATAGCAAAAACTTAAAATCTTCTTTGAAAAAACCCAAATAGCTAGAGTTTAGATATTAAGCATGAAACATCTTCTAGTAAGTGTCTACAAAGTTTTGTTCAAATAAAAAGCCCTGGGGTCAAAACTGGCCCGGCCGCCAGGGGTGTCATTGTTTTTAACTATATGTGCATAGTAAAATTTTAAAAAAAACTCTTCTTTTTAAAAAGCCCATGAGCTAAAGCTTAGATGTCTAGCATGAAACATCTTCTTATGGGTGTCTACCAAGTTTGTGCAAATAAAAGCCATTGGGTTAAATTGGCCCCTGCAACGTTGGGGGGGGGGGGGGTTGGGGGGCCTATATACAGGTGAGCGACCTCAGGGCCATCATGGCCCTCTTGTCTTTTTTACATTCATATTGACTTTTAATATTATATATTCAACATTTAGTTAAAGATCCTGTATGTTTTGTGATTGATATTTTTACTGTGTGAATACCACACTAGCAAAAAAATATATATGTACATATTTATGCAAATAAAACAATTTTTAAACATCGAAGAATATGTAAAATGTGTACTGCAAATATTTGTGCACATTTTATTTAATCAATAAATTACAGGCATTCATTTCTTATTGCAAAATTTGACTTAGAATTTATAGAAAATAAATTTCTAATTACCTCCCTTTATTTACATGAAATGTTAAATTGGGTAATATCTTTATAAATAATGCTTATTGGAACTTACAATATTGACAAATCTTAATTTGAGCATCATATTTATGAATAAACCATGAAAAAATTGTGTTACAGGATCTTTAAATATTATTTTTGTAAAGTTTCTGGTATGTTTTGTAGAGATGATTTGCGAGAATAAATTCCGGTGTAATAATAGTCGATGTATAGACCATGCGTATGTATGTGATAAAGTGAATCATTGTGATGATTGGTCAGATGAAAACAGGTGCATGATGGGTAAGTTATTACAAATTTCTTAATAAAATGCGGTATTAATTAATTAAACAAAAGGTATCTTTACTAGTCACATTACTGGAATAGGTGCATGATGGGTAAGTTATTTCAAATTTGTTATTAAAATCGGGTAACAGCTGTCCGGTAATAACTAATTAAAAGATAGGTAACAACTAGCCGCATTACTGCAATATAATCAAAACATTGGAATAATGATAAGATCCGGTATTATAAAATAGGTAACTCGATAATTATGACATTGACTTCAAGGTTAGGCCAGTCCATTACTATGTGGAATTTTTCCGAAATAAATGTTATTGTTCGTAGTAGAGATGTCATTGATTCAGTGCAAAACATAATTATAGACATAATATTCATATTGGATAACAAAATATTGATGACACACTGATATATCGATAATTTCTAATATTTACTTGCCTTTTATTCACTTTCATACCTGTTTTCAGAAATATACAAGATTATTCTGTTCATACAATTATGACATGTCTTGTTTATAAATGACAATTGCATGATTTTTTTTTTTCACATAACTTCAATGAAATAAGTCCATTACATAACGACAGCATTAGGTTAAGACAGGGACACCCGCTTCTGTATGTTTTGGGTGAATTTTCATAATTTCTAGTCATTGAAATAATTTGTCAAAATTGTTGATTTATTTTCAAATGTGTATTGACTTTTGATAAACAGAAAAAAATCAATGATACATTGATATTGTTTCTATCAATGACAGCTCTTTCCCTTATTTATATTTCATGCTTAATTTGCAAGGACCATAGCTCAGAAGGTATTTTGAAGGTACCAAATAGCAGCATTATAGGTTTTGGTCCAAATATCCTGGTCAGAAAATTGTTTAGATGATTTCTAGCTCAAGTTTGAGTATGGGTCATCTTGTGTAAAAAAAACTAGGTGACAGCACATAAAAGACATGTATGGAAAAACCTTATTAACATTTGCACTATTTCAGATGCATATTTGAACATTGTGATATCAGTTTAAGTTTATGACTATATGTGCTTTTCATAAATTGCTAACAATAATAATTCAGAGCCCAGTTCATTTAGTTGTTAATAAAGCTGAATTGATATCTGTTTTGTTAGTTAGAAAATTCAGCTTCTGTTGTCATTAAAATGGTACTAATGTTATTTGTTGTTTCAGTCACGACAGAACAAACACTTGTTAACATACCACCTGTGGACAGCACTGAGGAGGAAGATAATCAGATGATATGGTTAAAGACAACTGTATACACAGTGATAGCTTGTACAGTTGGAATAGTCTTTCTTATATCAGTCATAGTCATTGCAATATTTAGAATAAAGATGAAACGTGCTGCCGTGCGTCGAGCACTAAGACAGGCAGAAAGACGAAGACGTCACAACGATAGGTGTGAGTCTCGAGACAATTTGCGTAATCAGCCGAGGAGCGAACCTGTTGAGAACGAACCATTCATTTCAGCGCCATCACCCACCCATTTTGGAAATATAATAGTTAATGTTAATAATGGTGTTCAATATGTGCCAAATGTAGAGTTTCCCGTCGAAGTTCAGTTACCACCAACTTACTCAGAAGTGATGGCCGAAAGTGGGAGAGTTGGGCGCAATTCTCCGCCTCCAGAATATAGTACAATAGATAGGAATCCCAATAGAATGTCTGAGATACAAGACTCAGAGTCACACATACAGTTGCTAAGTGAATCAAGATCTGCTGAAACTAATGCTCCACACCTAGCTAGTGGTATGAACGAAAACGACTGCTGGGATATAAATGAAAGAGGTGTTCAAGAAAGTGAAAGTGTTAATGATTATAATTCATTAAGCAGTACTGAGAATGCAATAATCACGCCACCGTCAGGTTCCTTGGCTGATGGTCAAGGTACTCACTCACTCGGAAGAAGACAGTCTGGAAGTCAGAGTGCTAGACATTCTAGAAATGTTAGATCTGTAGGCTCCCCGTGCAGGCCTAAACAACTTAAAGTTTGTGACGGACAGATCGTTCTTGATGACGACTCATCAAATTCATCTTCACCGGAGACAGTAAATAGAAATACGCAAACTAATCTGGCTGACATTACATCAGCCAATCAGAACGTGGTGAAACCAGCACAGATTCAAGTGCAGGCGGGACAAATAATTCTAGCCAATCAGGAAGCGGAATCCTCCATTAATGGAAGAGAAGCAGACGGGGCTATTGCTCAAGGACAGCTGGATGTCAAAGATGGACATATTGTTTTTAAACCTACAGGATCATGAGATAATTATTGAAGAATTTCTATGTGCTATTTATTACATAAAGTTTATATTTCATTTTTTTGAAATCAAATTAAAAGCGATTGCAAAACTGTCATAACTTGTTATACAAAGTTGGATGGTGTGAACTTAAACTGTTTTAGGATAGTAGTACTAGAAAAAATGAAAAAAGAGCAAATTTGAATATAGATATAATTCCTCAAATATGAAAGTACAGTGTACATGTATAATGATGTTAAAAATGGACTGGTTTTGTGATGAATCTGAGTCTGAGTTTTGTGAATGCTTATTGTTTAGAATATTGCAGGTCAGATTGTAACAAAAACGTTCATAGTTTTTAGAACTTTATCACTTGTTTTGTGAAAGTTCATATTCTTAAGAATACTGATGTCACTGGTGAAAAGTTATTTAATAAGTAATAAAAAGTGTACAATAATTTTGAATATATTTGAACTTCAAAATCCTAACGAAAATAGCCTGTTGTGTTGATTGAATATAATTATTCTATCACATTTAAATCTTTTCAATACTAATCTGCAGCATTTAGTAGAAAGTGCCTGTTTTTATAAATATTGGATTTCTCATTTTTTTTTTTTTACTTGAAATCATGTTTGTTGTTAGATTAAAATTTATTAAACTGTATACATTACTTATTGGGCAACCTAATTCATAAATAGGTGATTTGTCAAATTGTGTTAGATTCAAGTTTCCTTTGTATATGTACCCTATAAAAATGTTACTTGTTACATGTACATAGTAAGACTTAAAGTGAATGCTTAACCTGCTATACTGAGCTTTTTACCACCAAAAAACAGCCAGTGCAGTCTGTCCAGGCTCTATACTTAAAAATATTTGGCAGCACAATTTTTTTGTTTTTTAAAATTGAAATCATTTAATCCTTGAATATGGACTATTCCAAATTAAAATCTGTCAAAATTCATGAAACAAATTCAGCAGTGTTAAGTGTTTAAAATCAGATCTGTATAGAATGGTGGAATCTCAGACAAAAAGTAATGTTTAATTTCTCATTACATAACAATGAATTTATAATTAGTCTGAATTCTAGACATGTAATACCATTAAACCATAAATGAGCCGCGCCATGACAGAACCAACGTAATGCGTTTGCGATCAGGATCCATGCTGTTCGCTATCAGTTTCTCTACTTGTTATATGGTTTGTAGGCGAACAGCATGGATCCTGATCAGACTGCGCGGATGCGCAGGCTGGTCTGGATCCATGCTGGTCATAAACGTATTATGTTGGTTTTGTCGTGACGCGGCTCAATTAGTAATGTTGAACTGGGGTGAAGATGCTGAATCATTTTACTTCTACACTGGTAATAGGTCAGGGCTTCCATTAGTGGAAGTTTGGGAGTCATTTACTCCTGATCTTGGCCTGTGACTTGAAAAATATAATGCTCTCTTTAATTCCAATGTCAGACATTTTCAGTATCTCACTTCCAAATTTTACACCTTAATGGAAGCCCTGTCAGCATCAACTCAGCTTTAAATAATAAGTCCTCCCTTTATCAGCCAAACTTGTGTTTTTCTTGAAACAATTTATTGTACTAATGTATATTATGATTTTCTTGCCAAATTTGTATGTGTCAAAATGGCCTCGCACATAATTAAATGCTTCAATCTTTGATGCTTTGGTAGTTCATATAGCATTATTAATTTAAGGGTTTTTCAGTATAAATATTATAAATCTATTCAGCAAATAGTCTAAGTTCAGAGTTCATGGAATTTACACAATGACAGAGGCAATTCATCAGGGCTGCCTTCTGAGAAAATTTTGAAAATCTAGTGTAATGCTTTATGTCTTTTTCTTATTGTAATGCATGATACCGCAAGTCAAAAAGACGTAACACCATATTGCATTTTTTGAAATGTATATGTTTTGTTAATGTAAAAACCATTCCAGGAATGATTTAATACTTTTGTAAAAGTGATGATACCTTAGCAATATTTGTAAACTATGATACATGTTAAAATGACCTTTTCTTAAAAGTGGCCTTCAGTTCTTATTTTCTGTTGGAAAAACAATTCTGTTTTGTTTTAAACTATGAAGTTCAGTAAATTTATCTTGGAAAAATGCATCATGTCACTGTTAAATCTTCTCCGAAATATTGTCCCTAGAGTTATTTATAACGCATAAATGATGTTTATGCCTCCACAGAGTGGGGAGCATATAGCGTTGCACTTGTCCGTCCGTACGTCCCAAAATCTTGTGAACGCAAATCCTCTAAAACCGGATGGCAGATTTTGCTTAAACTTCCAGGGATGAACAACCTTAATGTGTAGATGAAAGTAAAGGAAGAAATTTTTGCTGCGACCAAATTTAACAGAATTATGGCCCTTTGTTGATTTTTTCACTATATAGAAATTTTGTGAACGCAACTCCTCTTAAACCGGATGGCAGATTTTGCTTAAACTTCCAGGAATGAACGACCTTAATGTGTAGATGGAAGTAAAGGAAGGAATTTTTGCTGCGACCAAATTTAACAGAATTATGGCCCTTTGTTGATTTTTTCACTATATACTATGTAGAAATTTTGTAAACGCAACTCCTCTTAAACCGGATGGCAGATTTTGCTTAAACTTCCAGGGATGAACGACCTTAATGTGTAGATGGAAGTAAAGGAAGGAATTTTTGCTGCGATCAAATTTAACAGAATTATGGCCCTTTGTTGATTTTTTCACTATATACCATATATATGTTGTCAGTGGGGGCATCTGTGTCCTTCGGACACAGTTCTATTTTTTTCTAAAAATAGAATATCAAGGAAAAACAAATTGTCCACTTTACTAATTTTGATATAGAGAGCTGACTGGTAGATTAGATGTATCGAGGGATTTTCTTATTGTTTATGTATTTTATTGTCAGTGAATTTCATTTTGCACCTTAATTCTTCTGATTTGATGATAATATGAAATGATTTATCTAAAGATAACATATTTAACCTTAGAAAAGCTCAAGACCTCATTACCCCTTTTGAATTAATTGTTCAGCTCTTATGAAGACATATGAGCCGCGTCATGACAAAACCAACATAATGGGTTTGCGACCAGCATGGATCCAGACCAGCCTGCGCATCTGCGCAGTCTGATTCGGATCCTGATTCGGATCCATGCTGTTCGCTTACAAACACTTTAACAAGTAGAGAAACTGATAGCGAACAGCATGGATTCTGATCAGACTGCGCGGATGTGCAGGCTGGTCTGGATCCATGCTGGTCGCAATCCCATTATGTTGGTTTTGTCATGACGCGGCTCATATATTATTTACATTATACCTATGAAATAAGTGGTCTGGTTTACCTCAAACTTGCTCGGTAGTATAATCGTACATTCTTTCAATAATGATTATTTTGATATTAATTGAAGTAATTTTTTCTTGTGAATTTTGTTCCAAGTAGAAATATCTTTAAACGATTTGTTTTTTGTATTTTCATTTAATATTGTACAGAATTTTGTAAGGCCTTTATAGTCATTTTGATATTTTGTAACTTTTATTATAGATCTAAACATTTTAAATACAGAATATGCACTTTTACAATTTTGAAATACACTATTTTCCGTATAAGGAGAACTTGTCAACCCATTTTGAAGAATGGTACTGTATTTTTGCAAGTCTCCTGTTTCTTTTTTCTCTAAAAAAAGATCTAAATTATGAGATTTTATCACTTATTTTATATTCTTCATACTTTTTGAATGTCTTATTTTCTACATTGTATCTGACATATGTTTATAATCAGTGGTGTTTACAGAAAACAAAATTTTTCAGGCCATTATTTGAGCTAAGTCACGACAAAACCGACATAGTGCGTTTGCGACCAGCATGGATCCAGACCAGCCTGCGCATCCGCGCAGTCTGATCAGGGTCCATGCTGTTCGCTTACAAACCCTTTTACAAGTAGAGAAACTGATAGCGAACAGCATGGATCCTGATCAGACTGCGAAGATGCGCAGGCTGGTCTGGATCCATGCTGGTCGCAAACGCATAGCGTTGGTTTAGTTGTGACGCGGCTCATTTCTAATTTGTGTGCTCTTTTAATCTGGGGATTTTGTGATCAAGTTTGTGAGTAGGAAATCATATTACAGTTAGCTAGAAATTGAAGAGTGATCATAAAGTGAATGCCTGTTAGAATGAGTTTTTGTTTGAGACTTGACTTGAACCCCAGAAAAGAATGTTTGTTAATTTTAAGTATTTGAAATTATTTTACATCAGCTATAATAAAATAAAGTTATTATGTTAGCTTAAGCTATGGCATTTCAAGACACATCTATTGTACTGATTTATTCCAAAGAATGTTTTTATATGTTTTATTTAACTTTTCAAAAATTTAAATTTTTCTTTATTCAACTTTAGTTTATGACCTATTTTTGTGTAGATTTTACTGTTAAACCCAGTTTATTCCAGTCATATTCAAAATAACCTGTAAGTTATTGCATAAATTTCATTGAACAATTTTGATTGAAAATTTATGTAATACATTGTTTAAGAAACCGTATGTTTTGTATTTTTGTAGAATAATTAGTAAACTGGCCTACCAATATATATAATATTTATATACATGTATGCTTTTATTCTTACAGCAGATACATGCTTTAATATATTATTTTTTGTTTTACTTTGCAACATATTGAAACCCATCTGACATACATCATTATTATTGCTGCCTGCCTCATTACTGACTCCCATATATATCCAAAATGAACTTGTCCACCTTTCAAACTGGACAAGACCATTCATCATTTGTAGGGAAAATTTAAATGAGCCGCGTCACGACAAAACCAACATAATGGGTTTGTGACCAGCATGGATCCAGACCAGCCTGTGCATCCGCACAGTCTGATCATGATCCATGCTGTTCGCTTAAAAACCCAATTACAAGTAGAGAAACTGATAGCGAACAGCATGGATCCTGATCAGACTGCGCGGATGCGTAGGCTGGTCTGGATCCATGCTGGTCGCAAACCCATTATGTTGGTTTTGTCATGACACGGCTCAAATATAAGCACCGACTGAATAGCAAACAGTGCAGGTCATGGATGTGCTGGGTGATCTTGGTATGCACTGGTTGCTTAGGTAGGATCTTGTGTCCCCTCAAGCTAAGTGTTTGATGACTTACCCAGTGAAACTAATGAAAAATTAGGGCCTAATAAAACCTTTTTTCATTACTTAGCATAGTTTATATATTTATTTATAAATTCTTGAGGTAAATAAAGAATGCGTGTTTTTTCAGATTCTAGAGTTATTTCCCTGTGAGCACAGTGTTTTTCAGTGTGCATTCATTTATGTTTGAGCATACTAGTAACAGAATTATTCATTGAATCCTGTTATAGTAAGTGGCTATGTATGAGTAAGATGTAGATTTTCTTTCATAATTTGTGGAAATTTTTATGTGAAATGGTTTTCAAAAATTGAGGGATTTACTTAACTTTGCAATACATATACATATTATATGCATTATGCTTGTGCTAACCACCAAATTTGTAAACCAAACGTTCATTTGTCTGCATGTGTCAAGGTAATGAAAGAAACCCTTTTTTAGCTCACCTGTCACAAAGTGACAGGGTGAGCTTTTGTGATCGCTTTTCGTCCGGCGTCCGTCCGTCCATCGTCCGTCCGCCGTCCGTAAACTTTTACTTTAAATGACATCTCCTCATAAACCACAAGGCCAATTTCATCCAAACTTCACAGGAATGTTCCTTTGGTGGTCACCTTTAAAAATTGTTCAAAGAATTTAATTCCATGCAGAACTCTGGTTGCCATGGCAACCGAAAGAAAAAACTTTAAATATCTTCTTTTAAAAAACCCTAAGAGCTAGAGCTAGATAGTTGGCATAAAATATCTTCTAGTGAGTGTCTACCAAGTTTGTTCAAATAAAGCCCTGGGGTCAAAATTGGCCCCGCCCCAGGGGGTCATTGATTTTCCCTATATGCATATAGTAAAAACTTAAAAAATCTTCTTTTAACAATCCCAAAGAGCTAGAGCTAAGATATTTAGCATCAAACATGTTCTAATGAGTGTCTACCAAGTTTGTTCAAATAAAAGCCCTGGGGTCAAAATTGGCCCCGCCCCAGGGGGTCATTGATTTTCCCTATATGCATATAGTAAAATCTTAAAAAATCTTCTTTTAAAGAACTCAAAGAGCTAGAGCTAAGATATTTAGCATCAAACATGTTCTAATAGGTGTCTACCAAGTTTGTTCAAATAAAAGCCCTGGGGTCAAAATTGGCCCCGCCCCGGGGGTCATTGATTTTCCTTATATGTGTATAGCAAAAACTTAAAGAAATCTTCTTTGAAAAAACCCAAATAGCTAGAGTTTAGATATTAAGCATGAAACATCTTCTAGTGAGTGTCTACAAAGTTTGTTCAAATAAAAGACCTGGGGTCAAAATTGGCCCCACTCCGGGGTCATTGATTTTCCTTATATGTGTATAGCAAAAACTTAAAATCTTCTTTGAAAAAACCCAAATAGCTAGAGTTTAGATATTAAGCATGAAACATCTTCTAGTAAGTGTCTACAAAGTTTGTGCAAATAAAAGCCCTGGGGTCAAAGCTGGCCCCGCCCCAGGGGTGTCATTGTTTTTAACTATATGTGTATAGTAAAAACTTAAAAAAATCTTCTTTTAAAAAGCCCAATGAGCTAGAGCTTAGATGTTTAGCATGAAACATCTTCTTATGGGTGTCTACCAAGTTTGTTCAAGTAAAAAGCCCTGGGGTCAAAATTGGCCCCGCCCCAGGGGGGTCATTGATTTTCCCTATATGCATATAGTAAAAACTTAAAAAATCATCTTTTAAAGAACTCAAAGGGCTAGAGCTAAGATATTTAGCATCAAACATGTTTAATAGGTGTCTACGAAATTTGTTCAAATTAAAGCCCTGGGGTCAAAATTGGCCCCGCCCCGGGGGTCATTGATTTTCCTTATATGTGTATAGCAAAAACTTAAAGAAATCTTCTTTGAAAAAACCCAAATAGCAATTTTCCTTAAATGTGTATAGCAAAAACTTAAAATCTTCTTTGAAAAAACCCAAATAGCTAGAGTTTAGATATTAAGCATGAAACATCTTCTAGTAAGTGTCTACAAAGTTTGTTCAAATAAAAGCCCTGGGGGTCAAAACTGGCCCCTCCCCAGGGGTGTCATTGTTTTTAATTATATGTTTATAGTAAAAACTTAAAAAAATCTTCTTTTAAAAAGCCCAATGAGCTAGAGCTTAGATGTTTAGCATGAAACATCTTCTTATGGGTGTGGGGGGGGGGCTATATACAGGTGAGCGACCTCAGGGCCATCATGGCCCTCTTGTTTAAAATTTATAGTCCAGTCTAGATTTCCAAGCATTTGATTGGTTGTTGATTTGTTTCATTATTAGACTGGTCTGCAAGTTTTTGTCATTACCTTGGACCTGGGTTGCTTTATTTGTTGATATACTATTTACGCTTTGTAAACCTACCAATTTTATAATTTCTGAATAAATTTTATGTTGATTTTTTTGCAACATTATAATATTAAAGTTTACAATGTTGACTTTCTTGCTTTGTTAGTTACTTCACTTGTTGCACAGGTTTCACTGTTGAAATACCCTTTTTGTTATTGCTATTGATAATCACAGGCAAAATACCAGTAAGACTGGCGTGAAGGATGTTGCACTTATTCATTATCCCTCAATCAAACCGAGTCTGCAATTCTCTTGTAATTTTGTTGTGATTAATGCTTTCGAGGGATCACTTTGTTTCCAGATTTTTGACAATGGATTAAAGTCCGAATCCCAGGCGCTCCAGGATTAAGTACTTCTATCCATTGTTTGATGACAGTATATGTAAGTCGTTGCTGAATTTCTGAAATTCGGTTTAGTTTTGTTGATACAGGTTTGGTAAACATACCGTCAATACTTTGCTAGAATGCTTAAACAAAATGTCGACTGTACAAAAGAACTACAGCCATACACACATAATAATTATGTTTATGCCCACGGGCATATAGTAATTGAACCGTCCGTCCATCTGTCCGTCCGAGCAAACATTTTGGGTTTAGAGGCTATATAACAGTAAAGAGAACAAAAGGTTCATTCAGTGATCAAAGGGTTTATTGGCTAGTAACCCTTAAGAAAACGAAGAAAATAACAAAGAAAATAGCCCCTATACCCAAAATGTTGGAACGTCCGTCAGTCTATCCGAGCAAACATTTTGGGTTTAGGGGCTATATAACAGTAAAGAGAATAAAAGAGAACAATAGGTTCATTCCGTGATCAAAGCATTTATGGGCTATTAGCCCTAATGAAAACAAAGAAAATAGCCCCTAAACCCAAAATGTTGGAACGTCTGTGCGTCAGTCTGTCCGTACGAGGTTAACCTAGAACGGCAAGTTGGATTTTTCTTAAGCTCTACCTGTACCAATGGCTTCATAATTTACACACTTACTAATCCATACAAAGTATATGATCTGGGCAAGTTACATAACTATGGCTTCCATTTGCACCAAGTTATGGCCCTTTTCAGCACTTAGAAAATGAATAATGGTTAACCTAAACCGGCAAGTTGGAAATATCTTATGTTCTATCTGAACTAATGGCTTAATAATTTTCATACTTACTTATCAATACAATGTACATGATATTGCCAAGTTTTATAAATGTGCCATCCATTTTCCCAGTAATTCCATTTTTATCACTTTGAAAATAGGGCCTTGTATGGTTAACCTATTCCGCCAAGTTGGATTTATAAAAAAATTTCACCTAATTACTTAATTTATTTAATGATATCTTTCATATTTGGTAGGTGGATACCTTTAAAGGTCCTCTAATTATACCCCCGCACAACAAAGTTGTAAGGGGGGTATACTGGAATCAGCTTGTCCGTCCGTCCGGCTGTCCGTCCGTCCGTCCGCCGTCCGTCCGTCGGTTTTTTCTTGTCCGCCCAATAACTTAAGATTCCTTTGACCCTTAGTCTTCATATTTGGCATGGAGGTTAGTCATGATTAGTAGATGACCCCTATTGATTTTGAGGTCACTAGGTCAAAGGTCAAGGTCACAGGGACCTTGACAAAAAAAGCTTTTCTTCTCAATTGCTCAAGAATGTCCTGTCCGCAATGTATTGATTTTCACATTTGAAGCATGTAGAATACATAACTTAGCAATGCACTGGCTTAGTAACCTCAGATTTGGCAGGGAGGTTGTCCTTGAGCTCTAAATGGCCACTGTTGATTCTGACAAAGTGGTATGCGGGGGTATTCACGCCATGATAGTGGCAGTTCTAGTTTTTTGTGGCGTTAGGCGTCTCTAGGTCAAGGTCACTTGTGTAAAAAAATAAATCTAAACATTTCTGCTCATACAGTCTTTATTTTTAAGTTAATGTCTTTCTCATACCAAGGGAGGTCCTCTTCCTTTTTCTTTAGTAAGGGGTCATTTGGGTCAAAGTCACCAATGTCAAAAATAGATTTTTTTACACATTTTTACAGGTGTATTAACCTTATTCTATTGACAAATGTCTTGTATATTTTGTAGGAACATAAAATTGAGGTATTGTCATTTGGATGGAGGTAGGGTTCAGTTGGGTCAAGGTCACCAGTGCTAAATATAGATTTTTACACTTTTGCTCATACAGCCTTTATTTATTGACAAATTTGTATTATAATTGGTAGGAAGATAACTTACATGGTATTCTTCCTTTGGATGGAGTTAGGGGTCAGTTGGGTCAAGGTCAACAGTGCTAAAAATAGATTTTTTCACTTTTGCCCATACAGCCTTTATATATTGACAGGTTTATTTCACTTTTGGTAGGAAATAAGTTGCATGATATTCTTCCTTTGGATGGAGTTAGGGGTCAGTTGGGTCAAGGTCACCAGTGCTAAAAATAGATTTTTTACACTTTTGCCCATACAGCCTTTATTTTAAATATTGTTACTGACAAGAATCTGAGCCGGGTGCATTTGTGTTTAACAAACACGTTCTTGTTATAAATGAGCCGCGTCACGACAAAACCAACATAGTGCGTTTGCGACCAGCATGTATCCAGACCAGCCTGCGCATCCGCGCAGTCTGATCAGGATCCATGCTTTTCGCTTACAGTAAAGAAACTGATAGCGAACAGCATGGATCCTGATCAGACTATGGATCCTGATCAGACTGCGCAGATGCGCAGGCTGGTCTGGATCCATGCTGGTCGCAAACCCATTATGTTGGTTTTGTCGTGACGCAGCTCAAATGTCGGTTTTTAGTGATCAGAAACAACAAAATTTCTTGTCATTTAACATCTACAGAGAAAAAAGTCATCATCTTGAGCAATGTCAATTAACTGTCCAGTGTATTCGAGATATACACGAGTATATATGTAATCATTCAATGTTTAAGGAATTACAATTATAATGTAAAAGACCGATCATCTCCGATCCCGCCAGGTTAAGGATTAAAACTCAAAGCTCTTATGAAAACACTGAGTGCAAGATTTGGTTAATGATGTCCGTGAACACATAATCAGATTTTGAACTATGGGAATGAAACAGATGGTAGAGGTGAAAAGTCAAAGTTTATCTCGTTCTGTATTTGGTCCTAATATGTATCTGCAATCTAGATTTCAGGGTTCAACGCTAAATATACGATACATAATATAATTGCTTACATAAATTATTGAGAAATACGGACAAATTGACGAGTGAGATTTTTTTAATGACCTAACCCACTATGACAGGTAAGCCACTTTCTTAAAATGTAATTGTTTTTACTGTTTTCTTTGTTATTTCTTAAAAATAATTTGTATTTCCATTTTGAAATACACACGCATTTTAATTTTTAAGTTTGATATGTCCATTTGTCGTGTACTGAAATTGATTTAATTTAGTTAAAAACGACATAAAAGCTAATCTATTTATAGGCGAAAGGACAGAAATTACTTGTAATACAAATGAGCCGCGTCATGACAAAACCAACATAGTGGATTTGCGACCAGCATGGATCCAGAACAGTCTGCGCCTCCGCGCAGTCTGATCAGGATCCATGCTGTTCGCTTTCAGTTTCTCTACTTGTAATAGGGATTGTAAGCGAACAGCATGGATCCTGATCAGACTGCGCGGATGCGCAGGCTGGTCTGCATCCATGCTGGTCGCAAACGCACTATGTTGGTTTTGACATGACACGGCTCAAATGATTGTTAACTCCATTACTAGAAAAGGGATACATATTTTGCCATTTAATTAATTTCAAGTTCATTTTCCTCGATCCATGCACATATTCGTAAAGTATAATTTTAGCAACAATATGTACATGAATAAAAAAGTGTTCATTCTCGATTTGGTGTCTTGTAAATGTAGCCTAATAGCGGCTGTGATCCAGTTTCCTTTTTTTTTTACTTGTTTCCATGTTATTCTGGAAAGGGTTGAAACATAGAATGTGCACGAATATTGTACGTGAACCGAATTAAATGTTGTTCAAGAGCAAAATATAAAAACATAATTCTGCTATTTCAAGTACGGTTATAATAGTTTAGCAATGGTGTTTTGCATCCGCTATTATCCTTAAAGAAAAAATCAAAAATAGTTCTTCCAAACAGGCATTTTAGAAGTTTTCTTCGTCATAAATAAAAGAAAAAATTTGTAAACTCTAGACGGAAAATAGCTTTTTATCATATACTTATAAATGAAATGATGGAATCAAATGCATTATTTTTTTCCGTATATACACTGTAAAAGATTATTTTTCACTGCAGTGAAACATATTTTCCGTATTTTCACTGATGTCTTGCCGGACTACTTTCTTCTCAATTCAGCCAATACACAAAATTAAAAGGCAATTCTTCCTATTCATTGGGTTAAAAAAGAGAAAAAGAATATATAATAAACAGAAAATTCAAGTTTTTTTCTTGTGGTATGAAAATTATCATATTTTTATTCCACTCGATTAAAATCAATCCTGTATTTATAGAAGAAACTTGAACATCCTCTATATATCAAATTTTGTCTAACTACATAAAAAGAATCATACCTCATTACAATGCACATGTAAATTCAGACGCCACACAATATAACCATCTGCTGCCTATGGGTGAAAATAGCGATGAAGACTGGAACGCAGACGACGAAGATCCGTCCATGTATCAGCCGACAATTCCCACTTCCGGTATGAACGCGCCCGATGTTGAAATTCATGACACTGACGCTTTGTTGAATAAAAAGAGAAAAGTGCGCAATGGAACACCTTATGAATATTCCAGGTCCAGAAACAGACGCCGAGATTCAGATGGAACGCTGTGTACACCAACACGTGCAGCTGTATTTTTTGCCTCTATGCTCTTGTTATTTGGAGTTGGTTATTTTGTTGGGTTTATGACTCCATTTGGCAAAGGTACAACAATGACAAGTGTTGTGGAAGTTAAGCCTGATGTATCATTTCGAAAAAGATCTGAAAATTGGAGAACGAAAATGACGGATTGGGGTATACATATTATTTTATCTGTAAATGTTAGCAAGATTTTACATTAACAGGCATATCATTGTTACGCAGAAGACAACAAGTGGTATTGCATTAATTTATGCGAGTACCTACTAAATAATTCACGTAATGAAATAACGCTGAACTTTACGTATCGTACTCACATTTCGTTGTAGCAGAATCGTACATTATTCAGGCATTAAGTATTTTTACTATTCACAAAAATATAAGTTATACGTTAAGAAAATAGTTATTAGTTTGTGTAAGTAACAATATTTTATTTCATACAATATTTCTACATTTATAAGTATACATCCAAATTGTGTATTGCAGGTACCGAATCATGTATTCGTCTGGTGGACGTGGATCAGGACGGCGTTCTGGATATTGTGGCGGGAATAGCACTTGGTAAAGACGTCACTACGATGGTGACGGAATCAGATATGGCAGAATTCTGCAGGAATAACGGTAAACATATGATGAATATATTTCAATATTCAAGTCTGCAGAATTTCTTAAATGGACTTCTTTAGATTCATTTTTGAAATGTTTTGAAATGACCTCTTTCAATTTTTTGTAATTAAAAAAGAAAATATTAAAGTCAGGCACCCAACAGTTTAGAGCTTGGATGCGCAGGCTTGTCTAGCTCTATACTGACCATTTTCAGTTCCTGCAAGGTAAAGGGCCAATTATCCCCAAAATGCTATTATAAATACATTTGTATTTCATTAACAAAACATTTTGGTTTTGATATAATGTAACAAGTCACATTATGCCTCAGTAATGCATATTTTTTAAAATTGTTTGAAAATGTTAAACATGTGTTTAATAATGTTATAATAATGGATTTAGAGTATGTAAGATGTTTTACAACTAAAGAAAGTAGCACTGGACGTGTCATAAAGTTAGTACAATGTAAACAAAACAGTATTTTGACTCCTATACAAACACTTATTCACTGTAATTATACTAATTGCAAACAGAGCAAAGAAAGCAATTCATATATGTGGAAAAAAGTATTTGTTTGGAAACTGTAACAAGACACCAAAACAAAAAAGAAGTTTTTGAGAAAACAAAAAATGATTGCATTTCTGAGGCATATTGGGCCTTTAAAAGCACTAATTGGCCATGTAACTGAACCATCTTTTTTTCCCTTTGCTGTTAGGAAATTAGTACACTTGTAGTGATTTAGTATATTGTATGGAAGTGAAAATGCCACTTTGTTAACATTTTGCTACATTTCTGACAGATTATTTCCCATCCAGCACTTTTCCGGTTATAAGCATCGTATACTTTTTAAACCTAATTTCAAATATTATAAAAGACTTCTCAAGAGGAAAAAAAACCCATTAAAAACGTTGGTTTAATATCCTGAAGAGAAACCTGAATGACAGAAAAACCGGTTAATTTGTTAAGTCTTAGTGATGATTTTCTAAACATGTCTTTCTTGCGAGGTGATCTTCCGAAGAAGTTTAATTATATACACTGTAATTATTTTAAGGTATAAGATGTATAATTGACAATGTTTCAAAATATATTTAAATCTTTACATAATTAAACATTATCAAATTTTTGATAAATTAAATAAAAAGAAGAAAAAAGAACAAACGTTTACAATCTTGTTTTGTAAGATATTCATGAATTTAGTTTCAGTTATATAAAATTACAAAAACAAACTTGTTTGTTTTCATGAGTTAAAGAACAGAGTTACTTATTTCATCTTTATGTACCTTTAAGAATTGGTAAGAAACACCCATAGTTTTAAAATGAAAAGAAACAAACCCAACGAAAAGCATATTTGAATAAAAGGTTAATCGATACAGATATGTGTCAAATTTGATGAAAAAAAGAGGGTGGGTTCAAAAAATCTGTCATATTTGTCATCTATCAATGGGGGCATCCTAATATCTTCATATGAGCCGCGTCACGACAAAACCAACATAATAGGTTTGCAAACATAATAGGTTTGCATCCGCGCAGTCTGATCAGGATCCATGCTGTTCGCTATCAGTTTCTCTACTTGTTATAGGGTTGGTAAGCGAACAGCATGGATCCTGATCAGACTGCGCGGATGCGCAGGCTGGTCTGGATCCATGCTGGTCGCAAACGCATTATGTTGGTATTGTCGTGACACGGCTCATACAATGATTATCAAGATACAATTCCGAACCAATTTATAGAAAAATAAGGAGGATTTTACCGTCCAGATTTAGAATTATAAACATTTAAATTTGTAAAACTACCCTATTTTCACTAACTTTACCACTAAAAAGTTACATATAATTGTGCAAATATATCTTAAATCAAAATTAAAAAAGAAAAAAAAAAGATAAAAAATGAAAACCATTTTCTGACCAGTCAAAAGGAATAAAAGGGAACCAAAGAACCAAAAAAAAAAAAAAAAAAAAAAAACAAGATTGCATTTGAGAAAAAATGCTATGCCACCGCATGGTTCAAATTTTATAGCTGTACATCAAAGGACAAGAAAGTAGGTCACATCATCAAAATCTAGGTCACCTGATATCAAAGTTCAATTTTACAACTAAAACTGTGCACATGGTCAAAATGTCATTGCTGTACATCAAAGGACAAGAAAGTAGGTCACTGTCCCCTTGGGCAAGGCATAATTTTGACCCAAGGCTTTAATTCAAAACAATCTTGATACAGGTCCACCAAACAACATTTCAAGTCAAATATCTAAGCTATAGCTTTCTCACATTCAGAAAACATTTGTTTTATTTTCTGTTTTTACTATGTGTACATAATGAAAATCACTGTCCCGGGCAGGGCCAATTTTGACACCAGGGGAAAAATTTGAACAACTTTGGTGGAGGACCTATAAATGATATTATATATCAAACATCAAAGCTCTATGCCTTGTACCTTCAGACAATTTTTTTTTTTATTTTTTCACTATATGTACATAATGAACATCAATGACCCCCGGGGCGGAACCAATTTTGACCCCTTGGGCTATAATTGGAACAATCTTGCAAGAGGTTCACTACACAATGTTTCATGCAAAATATCTTAACTCTAGCCTTTGTAAATTTAGAGAAGATGATTTTTTAGGTTTTTACTATATACATATAAGGAAAACCCATGGCCCCCGGGGGCGGGGCTAATTTAGACACAAGAGGCAAAATTTGAATAACTTTTGTAAAGTACCTTTAGATGATATTATTTAACAAATATTAAGCTCTAAGCCTTGTACCTTCAGACAATAAGATTTTTTTGATTTTTCACTATATGTATCAATTGAAATCAATGACCCCCAGGGCAGGGGCAATTTTGACCCCAGGGCTATAATTTGAACAATCTTGCTAGAGGTTTTACTACACAATGTTTCATGCAAAATATCTAACCTCTAGCATTTGTCAATTGCTAGAAGAATTTTTTTTTGAAGTTTTTACTATAATTTTTTACTATATACATATAAGGAAACCAATGACCCCCGGTGCGGGCCGATTTTTACCAAGGGCTATTAATTTGAGCAATCTTGGTAGAGGTCTACCAGACAATGCCTTATACAAAATATCTAAGCTCTAGGCCTTTTGGGTCTTTACAAGAAGGTGTTTTAAGTTTTTACTATATGTACATATAGTGAAAATCAATGACCCCGGGGCGGGGCCGATTTTGACCCAAGGGCTATAATTTGAACAATCTTGGTAAGGATCTTCCAGTCGATGCCTTATGCAAAATATCTAAGCTCTAGGCCTTTTGGGCTTTTACAAGAAGGTATTTAAAGTTTTTACTATGTGTACATATTGAAAATCAATCACCCCTGGGGCGGGGCCAATTTTGACCCCAGGGCTATAATTTGAACAATCTTGTTAGAGGTCTACCAGACAATGACTTATGCAAAATATCTAAGCTCTAGGCCTTTTGGGTCTTTACAAGAAGATTTTTTAAATTTATTCTTATAATTCCTTTTGGTTGCCATGGCAACCAGATTTCTGCATGGAATGAAATTCTTTGAACAACTTTGGAAGCCTTTCACCCAAGGAACAATCCTGCCAAGTTTGGTTGAAATTGGACTAGTGGTTTTTCACAAGAAGATTTTTTAAGTTCACTATATAATCTATATAACACACACACAAACACACACACCAACACACACACACACAGGTGAATCGCTATATGCCACCGCATCGCAGATGCTGCGGTGGCATAAAAAATTGCTTCCAGTAGAGCCAGGCTAACTCACTGAAAACTAATACTCTTCAGAAAAGAGCTTCTGCATTAGGCATCTAATTCCTTAACCTCTGTTCATATTAGGCATGAAACTTCCATGTGCCGGGGCTGTTGTCGCGCTACGTGGCAGGGACGGCAAACTCCTCTGGAAAGCCTCCGCCTACGCCGAGGTGTTCGAACTTCTATGTCACGGCATCGATGTCAATCAGGACGGGAAAGATGATTGTATAGCAACAGGCAGACTTGGCTCTATCAGTGCCATTGATCCTCTGAATGGTATAAATCCATTATAAGTTACTGCATGTTGTATAGCTGTGCAATTATTTTCTTATTTGTCAAGTTTCAGTCATCTACCCAAATAAACCCCTTTTCCCAGTTGTTCCAATTTTTGAGTTGGTATTCACAGCTTGTTTGCATTTACCTTGAGTTTTTTTTTTAAAGTTTTGCTATAAATATAGATATCTTTCTGCAGTCATGTTAAACGTTGACCAAACTAAGTGAGTTGATTTAAAAAAAAACGTTCATTGTGTTTGACATAAATGCTTTTTCAAAATTTGGTTTTTATTCAGTTGAGTGTGTTTTATACTTGATTTACTGCAACATCTTCTACCAATTAAATCATTATAAAAGAGTATCATATATTCCTCGATTAATGGGATAAATTTCGTGACCCTTGTCTTTATCTCACAGGTAAAACATTATGGGTTGGTGACGAACGTTATGTTAATCGTGGTTGGAATATATACGCACCCGCTGCCGTCCCAGACCTCGATGATGATGGGGTGGCAGACTTAATTATCGCCCATGGCGGCGACCCTACTGTCGCTGCAGAAGTGAGTAGCCCTTTACCGGATAAAATTTGTTATCGAGCCAAAACCGATTTATTCAACATAGTAAAGGCTTTTGAATGAAATAATATCTAAATTGCCACATACTGGCTTAAATTTTGTTAAAGATTGAAGCTTGGCATTTTGCTGATATGGTATTTGAAGATCTGCTAGGTTTAGCATCATGAAGAATTATTGAAGTAATTGTGCTATATAAAGATATTTAACTGGTTTTATATTATCAAAAAGGTTCCTTGTTTCTAATTTAAAAAATGTGGACGAATGTTTCAACGCAATAATTTTATTTGGCAAATATCTACAGCAAAAAAAACGTAAATACACACTTGATTTAATAATAACATATTTTTGAAGTACTAATTCATACATGTACTCATTTTTCTGCAGATGGATCACGCATCACTTTTACAATCATTTTCTGTTTGGAACTCGTATTAGGTTCTATATTGAATATATGCAAAACCAAATGGACAAATATATCCCAAAACATTATACAAAAGTACATCTATTTTTTATAATTATAACTTTGATATTATTTAAATACACATCCTATAGATATACATGTATCAATTATCAGACAAATTTCTATTTTTAAAGCAGTCTTAATGTTGTTTTTATTCCTAGATAACTCACAGAAAGTCAAACCATATCATTTTGGTGTCAGGCAGAACTGGAAAAGCTATCGGCACGTACTTCAAAACTCCTAACGAAAAGGAATCCTACATGTCACCGGTTATACATAAGCGTAAAGACGGATCACAATACGTGTTGATAGGGACTGGTGGTGAGACAGTCGATGGTAGGTTCTCATTCGGTCTAATTTTATGTTTTCTTTTCTTTACACATCTGCTGTTAACGAGTAGAGTACGTCCTGAATCAGTGCAGTTATTAGATAACATAATAATAATAACAAAACTTAAGAACTGAAAAAGGTGATGCCTCTGAAATATTAATAACAGCAAAATAACATGAAAATTGCAGACTCGGTTTAATGGAATTTGTACACGAGGGATAATGAAATTGTGCAATGTGCGAATTTACCAATTCTTGCTTGCCATGTCAGACTTGTGTATAATTTAGATGAACTTCAGGAGATTGTTCTCTCGTGGTCCTATCTGTGTACCTGCCTGTCTCTCATTTTAAGGAATGGGAGTTCGAGTTTATTGTGTGTTTACGACCATGGTGCTTTATATTGAACCTTTCCTAATTAGTTAAGACATATTTGTTAATTAATTATAAATCAACGCCCATGCATCTTGTCATTCATTATTTGAGCTCACAGAACTCCTAACGAAAAACACAATTAAGCTATCAGTCGGTAACCTGTTTTACTGATATATTTTGTTTGAATGTCCAATCACGGTGTCAGCTTGCAAAGTTAAAAACAAAACACTTTGTTTTCAAAGGTGAGCTATTGGCCATGTCACTTCCGGATTTCTATCGTCACGTCAGAGGTTTGTCACGTGATCATCCCGTTCCGAATACTCAAGGACAATATACTCAGTGGGGATTCAAAAAACCGAATGCAGATGGTTCCATAATGTTATTAAAGTAAATTATTGCGTTATAGTTGTTTTCCCTTTTTTTAAATGAATTAATATAAAAGAATAATAAAATGTAATACTTATTAGCCTTATTGTAAATGTGTTTGTCAATTTAGCCGAATGTTAGGAAATTCGAGAACGTAGAATTTATACAAGTTCGAGTCCTTGTCTCGGTTTAACATTGCGCCCTCCTCAACGAAGCTTAAGTTCTTTCAATTGCGTGAAAAATCTGGTGGAAAGGATGACAATATATAAATTTTTGAAAAAAAAAATGACACTTAAACGATTAAAATGTATTCAAATAATTTTATGTGCACTTATTTCCAAAATACTATGAAAAAATTCTACTTCTATACAATTTCATTGTATTTCTTATGTATTTTATTCAGGAGTGAGAGAAAGGGAGTGATGGTACCTCCAGTATTGATTGACATGAACAAAGATGGCGTCAATGATATTTTGGTGAATTCTTTTAATGGTATTATGATATTGTATGACGGTGAAACACTAGCACCTATGTGGAAAATACAGTTCGAGGACAGGGAATCATATAGGTAATTGTCAGTTTCTCTCTGCTGAGTTTAATAAATATATATTATCGCTCAGAGATATGGGGTTATAAGAATGGGTTGTTTGCAGTGAATCAGAGATAGAGCACCTGTGTGATAAGTGTGTCATATCATGATCAGTTGTCAATTTATATGTGCAAAATGCAACCAATCAGATGCGAAGGGAAGGCATTTGCTATGAGTCAATCTCTAATAAAAATTATTGGAATTGGTATCCCCGTACTGCCACTTTCCGATCAGCTAACAGGTTTTTCTATAATAACTGACACTGAAATTATAAAAATAAAATTTCTCTTACAATTCTGCAAATATGTTTATAACTATGGTTTTCAATAAAAAAGAATTCTTTGTATTTATTTAGTGAGTCGTGGTAAATCCATATTGATTCTTGAACAAAGTTATGGCGTCAAATAAAGATTTGTGAATCTTTAAGTTTTACATATTTATGACTAAAATATGACTTATTTGAATACGTTTTAACGAACAATAAATTGTAGCCTTGCTGATTATAAATAAATGTATCGCTCAGAATAGGGAAAGAATGGGTTGTTCAGTTGATTCAAATGACACATAAGTGTGCAATATATGGAATGTCTTTTCATGTATGTTGTTTTTAAAAAAGAAAAAAGAAAACCCAGAATTTGTTTTATTTTTAGTATATTGAATCGAAAAATAATACATTCAGTTTGTTTGATTTTGGATTTCCGTCGCACCGACACAGTATAGGTCATATGGCGATGCTCCAGTCTTACTGGAGGGGGAAGACCTCAGGTGCCCTTCCGTGCATTGTTACTATTTTATTTCAATTATACTACATATAACAGTGTACCAGCTTACTTATGTAAAAGTACCTAGTGTGTCTTCAATAAAATATTCACACTTTCAGAATGATTTTTTTTATTAAAATGTTAAAATAATATTACACTATCTATAAATATTTATTTATTGTAACCAGTACGCCTGCGCCGGGATATTTTAACGACGATGACGTCATAGATTTCATGGTTCATTGGAGTGTCGGAGCATGGCCGTTTTATAACTCAACAGATGTAACTATTTTTAAACTTATCACAAGTATTTCTTATGGCATGAGCAATATTTACATGCAAGTACTAACACAAGTTTGAAGAGATGACTTCGGTTTTTGTTTCGATTTTTTTTTATCTATTATACAGATATGTTCGGGTATCCGAATTGATTTTCCTTCATACAAACTAGTATTTTAGTATATGTGATCCTTATTAGTCTTCATATTTATTCTTGTCTATTAATATGATAATTACGATTTTATACAAGGGGTTTTCTAAAAGAAAATCAAATGTACTGGATATTAAATTGGAAACTGTCCGCCGTCGGAAATTTTTCTACATTTCTACCAAACATTCACACAAGTGTTGTCAGGTGGAGTACCATGTCTTTATGCGCGTATTGTCGGTGTTTAGTGATTTTATTATTTTTGGCACTTTTTTTCACACATGTTTCATATTGAGAAAAACTATAGTGTGCGCAATTTTCAAGGCATTTCACCAAAACTTTCACTGAAAAATTTCACAAAGTGAATAGTGCATATTATCAGGGTTTTGTGATTCGGTCATTATTGTTTTGCCGAAATTTGGCACTTTTTACAGGTGTGATATATAGAGAAATACTCTTTGTGTACAATTTTTCTATTCATTTCATTCATTTCATTTTTCGTTGTCTTTTAAATTCCACGGCACATAATTATTTGTTATAGTTTTGTGATTTGATATTTGAGGAAACTATTTTTTATTTGTAAATAATAGTGGAATACCATTCTGAGTTCAGTATGTCCAATAATTCTAATTAAACCAATTCAACCTATTATTGGCGGGAACCTTGTTTGTGACAATTAATGTCGCTTGTTTCACTTTGTGATTATTTTGTTTTCTTATTCCGTTTTAAATAAATTTATATTATGTACACGTTTATGTCCATGAAGTATAAATTGACGATGTTCTACACATTATTTTACACAGACAGTTATCATAGATGGTCGTGACGGCAGTATTTTGTGGAATTTAACGACAAACAAATATGACGTGTCGTCGGATCTTGTGGCTAGAACCACTGCAAGAAATAGAGATGTATTTATATTTAGGGCACAGGGTAGAGAGGGCCATGACCTAAGAAACACAGGGGCCATTCATGGGGCCACGGGAATACAAAGAATTGTAAGTTGTGAGGAAGGAAGAAATCAATGCACCGTCATAATTCACTTTGAACCACTTATTTTTACAGCTACAATTCGTCAATTGTGTGAAATCTTTACAGCCTGGATCTCTACAGCTCAGGATCTCTGAGAGATACAAAAGACGACCTATTCAATGAGAATAATATAGATCTTATGTTTATGTATTTCAGTTCAGTACATTTGTATGAATTTTTGTACTTCATTTTTTTGTAATTTTAATAACATAATAATTACAGTGAAATGTATAACTATATATTAATGACGTGTCACATTATGTTAAAATTTATCTTCTGTTGCGCATACCGTTCGTTTTTAAGATATTGAAAAAATACCATTTAGTGTTATTCATTAGCATAAAGTCTTAATCATCTGTTATTTTCCACAAATTAATTTTCTTTCGTAATAGATAAACAAGAGAGTGACTGATAATGGAGACTGGACACTCGAGGACACCGAAATCACGGCGGAGAATGAAGATCAAGAGGGAATTTTACTTCAGGATAGTCATTTTAGATATAACCGTGCAGTTATTGACAAGGTACAACATTGTTGCAGATGAATACTCATTTTAATGGAAAGATCATTCTAGAAGCAAGTTTGAAGTTCAACAATTCTTAGATCTAATGTACTTTGATCAAGTTCGAGATTGCCAAGAATTTTATAGCCATTTTTCAGTCTTACTACCTAGAGACGCAGATTTGTAAAGTTTCTATTTATGAATAATTTTAACTAGTTGAACTCGATCTTTGATAGTTAGCTGGCTAGAGTGAGCCCAAGCAGGCGTTGTCTCATTTTTGGAATAGATAAAGCTAAATGCTATTATGGACACTCATTTTGAAATGTCTTGAGCGACAAATCTGACCTTCAAGACCTTTGACTGGCGAGATCATAATTTGGCGAAAAATAAACTGGATATCTGTGTTGCGTATTCGCACGTTCAACTTTCCCATTTAAAAACGGCCGGCTTACTCTGTTACTGTTCGGCTTAGTTATATTTTACAGATTAAGATGTGGTTAAATTACTTTAATGATAATTAATATATGCAAAAACACGTACACGTTTGTATGTTTAATTTCTACATTTTTTTCAGGATTATGTAGAATGTGAAAGCGATCAGAGAGTATTTCTTGCAGAGTTATTTGCTCTTGATAGAACAGTGATGAAAAAACCTATCAAACTATGGCAACGAGGATCAGAAAAATATTTTTATAGTGAGTAGTGTGCTCACTCTTCTATCATATTCTGTATTATGTTTTTAATTCTTTTTCTTTTATGCAGCTTCTTTTGGCGTTCACACTTTCTTTCAATTTAAAATCTATGAATGGTCTAAGTGAGTTTAAAATCTCTATGTCATACATGATTTTGTCGTTTTTTCCTACGAATCTTTAAGTCCAAAAACAACTATGTTCGGAATAATAATAAGATAACACAAATTCTTTAGAAGAAATACCAATACGAAATAAATATATAATCCAAAGTATTTTTTAGATTTAGGCTTCTCAAAACAGTTTTTTTATCCTATGAATTTTTTTTTTAAACAAAACCCCCAACAAAACAAATTTTTTTTTTTAGAATTAACAGAGAAGGACAAGATCGCGGTAAAAGAAACAATAAAGAAATATGGCGCTAATCATACTATGACTGAAAATGAAGTACCGTGGTCTCGTGGCAAACGAGAAAAACAAACCGGAAACACAAAAGATTCATTTTGTATTTTAACACAACCAGATGAACGCACAACAGGTTTGTTATATTATAACTATTTTTGTATGTTTTTTTTCCACCTCTGATATGTTTCTGTATATAAAGATATCAGTTGTTTTTCAATGAATGTTTTTTTCTATCACAGCTACCGATGTTTTTTTGTGTCTGTAAGTACATGTACTACTAAAATAACAGTTTACATGGACAAAATGCATGTATTGGTTTCCGGCGTCGATTATATCTTATATCACAATGCTAGGTCAATCACATACATGTCAGAGGGAGACACAGGCAAAATTTTCATGTCTTCATTTTGATTTTTTCATTCATTATTCTGCAAATGTCCTCAAAAAGAATGCAAAGAACAGTCACTGGAACATAACCTTTCTCCTTATAAAGAATAAATAAAATGGTGGTTTTCTAACTTGACCCACGTTTTCACAAAAGTTGTCACAGTGATCTCTGGAAACGTTAATCTGTCAAATGATTTAAAACTACTCGGTGATTCTGTCGGATTCTAAATTTCGTTCAACATATTGAGATATATTTACGCTTCAAACCCAAAATATATAGAATTTATACAGAAATTCATGCTGGGACTTTAAAAAATGTCATTTTAGCGTGATTTGAGTACATAAGATCATTTCAATATTTTTGTCATTAATTTGCCTGAGTATCCCTTTAAATAATCCGTTGGAAAATTCAGTTCATTTGATCGTTTACTTTTTTGAAATTGTCAATTTATAATGAAAATGTTGCCTTTAATGTCCGATATAAAGTTCAAACTTAGAACAAGACCTCACACACATTTACGTGTTTACATAAAACCACAAATTTGTTAATTAAGACATATCGTTATAATCACGTGTGCTATAAATACATTGTATGATTAATGAAATATTTAAGTAGAAATCTAAAGTGTAATCCTTTTCAATATTGAATGTTTATATAGATTGATGGTGCGGTGCGGACAAATGTACTGGTAAAAGTCAATGCCATAACATAAATGACAAGATAAATTTAAGTGAAAAAAACGCACACGCACGCATTCACACACACGCGCGCACGCGCACGCACACACATGCAGATGCGCGTGCTCACACATCGGTCTTGAAATGAAAAATTCAGTCTAGGATAAACGTGTCACTTGTACGTTCTTTGATTGACGCTACAAAACACATGCAACCTAGTTTCATGTACAAATAAAAGTCTTATTATTTCATCACTCAAGGTGCTGTTGGTGACGTCGATGGTGACGGCAAACTTGACGTTATAGTAAATCTGGTATCTGTTGGCGTCTTACGTGACGAATATGCCAGGTAAGCATTTAATTCAAACTGGTTCTCATTGTTTTATTTGGTGGGGTGAAAGGAGGCGCGTTTTGCAAGTCCAAAACTTAACCGTCCGTTTACTGGAACCATTAGTGATCAGTCGTTGCCTTACTCCCCTGTGCATCGGCCGAACGTTTCTCTACCGTTCACTCGTTTGACGTAATGGTAGTGTATTCAATTGGGTGCTAAGGGAGCGCACCATTGCCGCTAGTTTAGTTAAGGCAAGACGCCTATATATCCGGCTCTGTTCTGTTGGTAACTTAATTTTTGAATTTGGATATTTAAACCCTTCTTAAAACATTGTAAAAGAACTGTTGTAAATTCAAAGTTTTGCAAACCACTAAACATAAATTGAAGAAGTTAAAGAGTTGGCATCTTGGCATCTTTTTTGTGATTAGTAAATTTTTAATCAAAACAAAGAAACCGTAAAACAGTCGAATCATTAGTAGTTTTCTCTCACTTTAGTCTTGTATTTATTTAACCACAATGTAAATGACAGCTGAAGCCTTAAAAACCTGATAGAGGCTATAGACATAGAGTTTATAATACTAACTATCACTCCTCCTTTAAAATTAATAAAAAAATCGTTTGTTTTTCCGTTAACTTAGACGTGCGGTGTAGAACCATTTAAACATCTTGTCATAAACTTTTGACTTTAACTCTACTTTTGCAATAGGTTCAGCTAAGTTGTTGATAATTTTCAGGTCAATGAATCTAAAGTTTGAATGATATATTATAAGGTGAATCATTAACATACGTTTTGTAGAGTAATGTAACATTATATATACCGAATATTACCTCTGGTTATTAGACAACCTTTCTTTATGTTATTAAAATTCACAGCATAATGTAACAAACTAAAAATGATATTTGCAAAAGGTTTTTGTTATCTGAAGTGTTTATTTCACATTTGTTTAGATCGTTATTTAGTTTTTAAATATAAGGGAAATAGTTTCGTAATAGTTTACCTAATTGATATTTAGCCATTTACTTCTATTATTTTAAATGAACAAAATAAGCATACTGTCGTCCTACATTTTTATTTTTTTCATTTACAGGTACGTCAAAATGAAGTTTACTGTCGATATTTTCAAACTGAGTTTAGAGGATGCAATTAAAAAAGAACTCTATGTCCCAGTTAACGTGACGGTGCACGAGAAAATGGCATGGGTTGATAACGAGAACAAAATCACAACTTTAAAATTTCTACCGATGGAAAAACAACCGTGGGGCGGATATATGGGAACACGCGGAGACAGTATTTACCATATTTGAGAAATAATGTACTTGATTTGAAACTGTGTCCCTTTTTGATATTATGATATTCTTATAAATCTAAATCAAATAAAATATAAAACATTTATTGGTGTTCACCTTGTCTGAAAATTTGGTCTAAACCGATTTTAGACTGCTATTTTCCGGTATGCATGAATGACATAAGTTTGACCACTTGACCTTAGAATTTAGTTAATTGTTATGTATATTTTCATGTTTAACTTACTTCTTTTTTGACAAGAATGAATAAGCAAATAACTTAGACATTAGGTTGAAGTGCTGTCAAATTCTAATTTATGATGCGACCGGAAGTTATTAACGCTTTTACAAGAAAACGTTTGTCTTACTAAACATTAACCTACAACGTTGTTGATTAAATATTGGTACACGAGTGACTTTTGTAATTAATGGGTCACTGAGCTATCGGCGACAATCATACTATTGTATTTTAGGTCATGTGACGTATGGATATTGTTTGCTGGCTCTTAGTAAATTAAAATACTTTTGTAAATGTAACATAGTTTTAGTTTTTCTCTTTTTTTTGCAAGCATCTCAGGAGCCCGACTGACACGAGACTACGCTCATTTAGATCTTGTTTCATTTTTTTGTCAATTAAAAAAAGACAATATTAAAACAAATAAACAATAAACAGAATATTATCTGAACAATTTAAATACATACAGTTCAAAATTAAAATCATATTTCCGCTAACGATACACCTGTACTGGGACCTCATAATCGTGTACATAAGTTATCGATTTGTCATGTACACTTTGCACAATAAGCTTTTGGAAAAGACTACCCGTGAAATTTGGTGTTTTATGCAAAACGTGCACAAGCAGCAAGACTTCTCTCATTTTATTGTAAACCTGTGTTCGAAATTAACAAACTATGGCAAATCGACAGGTTAGACGTCGTCTTAGTGAAGATGAGATGAACATGGGTATTGGAATGTTGGAGGCTGGACGTTCCCCATATCCTTGGGTATCACAGAGCGTTGTCTCCAGGATGTGGAACCGATTCTAAACGACTGGAAATATCTTGCAGGGCCACGCCGGAGGTCGGGAACGTTCAACGACTCAAGCCCATGACCGATTTATTGTCCTTCAGGCCAGGCGCCAACGGTCCTCGAATGCTACGAGCTTATGTAACGACTTCCAGAATGCAACTGGTGTGCGTGTGAGCACACACACTGTTAGAAATAGGTTGCATGATGCTGGGTTGAGGTCACGGAGGCCAGCAATTCGCATGCATTCCTTTGACACAATGCCATATTCAAGAGCGTTTGCCATGGGCGCAGATTCATGTCACATGGACAGTTAATGATTGGACCCCGGTCCTCTTCACTGATGAGTCAAGGTTTTATGTGGAATTCACGGACAGACGGGCTAGGGTTTGGAGAAGTCCAAATGAACGCTTAGCTCCAGCATGCGTTGCAGAACACGACCGTTTTGGCGGGGGTTCAGTCATGGTGTGGGCGGGAATAAGCGCTCAGGGGAAAACGGACCTACACATCATTGAAAACGGTACACTGACGGCAGTAAGGTACGTCAATGAAATCTTAGACGTCCATGTACGCACGTACGCTGGCGCAGTCGGCCCTGATTTCATTCTTATGGATGACAACGCCCGTGCACACAGAGCCTACATCACAAACCGATATCTTGAGGAAGCAACTATAGTCCGCATGTATTGGCCAGCGAGGTCACTGAATTTAAATCCAATTGAGCAAGCTTGGGATATGCTGCAGAAAGGCATTTGTTCACACCATGTCCAACCAACAACAGTTCAGGAGCTAAGACATGCAATAATAGAGGAATGGGCCAAGATTTCTCATCACAAGGTCAGCAGGCTCATCAGCAACATGCGGCGGCGGTGTTAGACCGTAATTAAAGCCCGCGGAAACCCTACTCGGTATTAAACACGCGACGCCAACCATTTCCTAATTTGCAAGATTTTTTTATTCCACTATGTGATCTCCAAAATGTTGATTTTCGTCCAGCACACTCTTCTCACAACAGGCACACATCAAGGAACACTTTCATTGTCATTATTGTCATAAAAATTAATTCGTTACTAATTATATTTTATTCATTTCAATCAATTTTCACATTTATTACAAATACACAAAAGTAACGCACTGTAGAAAAAGTGATCCTTAGCAAATTTTGAGTAGTATATAAAATACGTTACATTTTGCACGTTCGGTGTACCATACAGACACATATTTCTATACTAAGTTTCGTTTTGATTTAACCTTTGAATTAAATTTTGCTTCATTTTAACAACTTACACAAATTACAAATTAATTTACATACTCCTGGCAAATAGTAATAAACCGTCTTAAATGAAAATTAGGTTTGATTTTTGTCCTCCCATACTTTAATATGAATTGAACAACATCCGTTGATGCAATCTGTTTTTTTTCTCTCATTCAATACTATCATACTGCAGCGTGCGAAATACCAAGTTTGATAAAGATCCGTTTGTTGATCAACGAGAAGAGGACGTTTATAAAAGAAATTATTTTTTGTCGCTGTCGTCCGTAAATTTGGTTTTCCAAGGAACAAACTTCTACAGTTACAGCTTCGAAAATAAGTGCAAAAGGTAAATGTTCGTACAGTTGGATTATTTTGGATAAACCCACATTTGTCGATTTAGGATAACATTTACTGAAAAGGACCACAGAATCTTTTAGGGCAAATTTGCCAGTTTTTTGGTGTCCGAAAGCACTACGAAGTACACAAATACAATGTATTGCAAGAAAACACACGTAATATCCGACATTATTTAGATTTGTTTTTTTTTCCATGCCATCAAAAATGTTGTTTTTTACGTCTTTTTTTTAATAACTATGAAAAGAATTATGCAAAGATTTGCCCAAAGTTTCTCAATTTAATAGTTACAACCAAATGGGAAAATACTCAGTGAGACAATAAAAGCGATCAATTGATATTGATTGATCAATTGATATTGATTTATTCAATATTGAAGTTGAAATGAAATTGAAAAAAAAATCGCTTAAAATTCCTCAATTTAATTGAATGTATGTAACTTTAAATTAAAATTCTTCCTTATTTTTTCATAAATTCAAAAGAATAAATTTACTGAAGGCCGTAAAACAAATTTATCGTCCCACTGTGAGCTTATGAATAAAGTTTGTTCACCTTTGTTTAACCGTGAACTTTACCAAGGTCAAACGAGTATAGATCTAGTCATTACTATTTTATAGCCTCAATAAAATATGTTCTATAGCTTATAAAGACTCGTAAAATATATCAAGTACAAAAAGGTTGTCGGTAAAAACTTGTAGGTTATAGTGTCCGTAATCTCGATCTATTATTAAAAAAGTTATTAATGCCTGTGGTTTTGAAATTTATTCGAATTTTATAGTGAAATCCTCTTAACATTTGTAAGAAACAAACAATAAATGATGTAAATAATGGGCAACAAATAATTTTTGGATACTGATATCCTCTTAGCCAAACGTTTCTTTAAACTTGCGTCTATGACCCAAAATTATTTTCATAAGCATGACCTTCGGCACTGTATTAAGTGGGATATGTGTGTGAAGAAGAAGAAGAAGTGGAGGAGAAAGAAGAAAAAAACACGCAAAAGAAACACCAACAAACAAGTTATTTAACACTGGTTTAATATTGGCATTTATTAAAGTTATGTGCGAACTCTTCAATAGCTCACATTGTTAATACATTCGTACACAGAACAATTTAAAAACGCAACGTATGCTTGTTGACTATTTTAACATTAAATAATAATAAAATGTTATTATGACACTTTGAACTAATAAAAACCATTATCATAAACATCATCTGTAGGAATTTCACTTAAATTGATAAATACTAACGTATTTCATGACAATTTTGTTCAATAAAAGCAGAGAGTTCACAAAAGTCAACAATAACGTGTGAACGAACACAGTTTAAACACAACCTAACGCTGTGGAAACTTTTGAAACGTTAGGAACCCCGTGTAGCTGAGGGGTTGCTTTTAATAGTTGAGGCCACCGTTTATCCCTGCGTAATCGTAAGAGGCGGCTAAAAGAGATTGAATCACTGGAATCTATGATTCTCTGAGCTCGAGCAGGTGGGTTGTTTTTCACCCCTGGTGTTGCTTTGAAGATTGCAACACCCGAGGTTAGCAAAAATCATCTTTCCTGTTTCGGAAATATGTGACATAATCTGTGTTGTAGCGCCGTTAAAGTAAACAAACAAACTAGAAACGCCCGGCAACTAGTTATTGCGTTACACTTCACGATTTTGAAGAAATTAACACTTCAATACATTGATGATAATAATGATAATAATAATAATGTTCACTAATATTTTATTATCTATCCCTGAGGGTTTGGAGGATGATCACTTACAGAATTACAACTATCCTTTTTTATGTCATGGGTATTTAAACGATTGTCTAAAAGATATTGTACGAGTTTCTCATTCCTCATGATTCTCGGAAGTTTGTATTGCATAAGCGATGTAGTTTTGTTTAGTGTCCGGATCAGACGACCGATATTTTGAAACGTTCCTCCGCGTACTAGAACTATTTTCAAAGACTGCAGACGACCGCTATCCCGGAATCTCTGGTACATTTCATGCAATGATTGTAAATGTAAATCAACCTGTAAAAAGAACCAAAGCAATTTGTGACATATTCGAGCAAAAGGAAGCAAATGCAAAGCAGCGACATTCATTTGCACCAACTTACATAACAAATGAGCGAACTATTCATGGTATTTGCGTCAGGAAAAAGTTATCATTTGCGCAAAATTTATTATTTTTTGTATATTTCATTTTTATAAAATCTTTTTTTCCTTGTTTATCAAAGCAAAATGTGTCGTTCTCAAAATTCAGACATTTTTCTCCTTGTTTGTTTTGGTTTAGTTAAAATCTCTATTGCAATCAGCATCCGCGCAGTCTGATCAGGATCCATGCTGTTCGCTTACAAACTCAATAACAAGTAGAGAAACTGATAGCGAACAGCATGGATCCTGATCAGACCGCGCGGATGCGCAGGCTGGTCTGGATCCATGCTGGTCGCAAACCCATTATGTTGGTTTTGTCATGAAGCGGCTCAAATACAATCTTAACATTCATTGGCTAATTCCAATGTTAAACAACCAATTTGCATATGACAATCGGTTGCACGTCTTTTTTACTTTGATATTAAGTACAAACTTAAGTATATGTTTATTATACTTGTACCCTTGTAACTTACCTTTTCACTTTCATTTTCCACCAGAATATCGTCATGTTCTAGCTCAATAAATACAGTATAGTAGTGTTCCTCTGTTATATGGCCTGTAAAATATATAACATAATTGTAAAACTAATTGAAACATGCACTGTGAATGATTGAAATAAGAAGTGTAATTAACATAATATTTGATTGGCTTATTAATTTAATTAAGACCAACTAAACTGAATATGACAATGACGATAGTTTAAGTGTAAACCCGTGTGATGTTTGAAATCATTTGCTTAATTATTGTTTTCCAGAGTTTTCCATCATTTATTCATAATGAGAGCACAGCGCTCGTCGATTTATATTAGGGACGGACAAAGTGCTTTGGCTGTTATTCGCTCATTCTCAAAAGTTGAATAACTTTATTATTATGAATGTTCAAGATAGAAAAGTTTACATATGATATATTTTCTATGTGAAAATAGTGCATTACTCTAAAAATAGAAACTGATCACTTAGTTATACCTTATGCCTTTCAGATGCAACTTATCTCCAAAGAATAAGTATATTATTTTGACGGTATTTAAAATTTCCCATTAATAACTAATTTCATCAACAATTCTAACATAAAATGAGGTATAACTCCAAACCAATGCCCTGCTGGTCGTTCAAATGTACATTGTCATGGTAATCAAGTATTCTTTTTACATTATTTGAATTATTCTACATAATTAGCAATTTTTACAGACATTCTAGTTAAAAGGAGCATAACTCTAAAAGTATAGCTTTCAAAGCTATGTCCGGCACCTGTGCCTAAGGCTTGTCATTATAAGCAAGTTTCGTAAAAGTGTTCGAGTAATGGGCTACAATGATGTTTGTTGCATGACGACACCGACGACCCATAGATCATAATAGCTCGACTTTTATCGAAAAAGACCAACAAATAAAACATGTATGTGTAGAATGTGAACTGTCAGGATTTTTATTGCATCAGTTAATAACATTCGTCCAATCTTAGTCCGTAGCCTATGCCAGGCTTAGAGCCATAGCTACATACAAACTCAAGTTGCGTACATGTATTAAACTTAAGGTATTGAAATTGGAAATAATTTGAAGAAAGACATTTTGAAATGTTATGTATTTCATGGCAATACATTCATTATAAAATTGTACTTTAATATAAAGTCAATTTCATTGTCATATAAGAGTCAATTTATCATGGGATAAAGAAATAAAGAAAGTTATGTCACTGTATCATGTTGACCTTCTTCAAGCAATAAATATGATTAAAAAAACTCCGAAATTTGCTTATTGTTATCCAAGATTGACGATTAGACAATATATAGAATGTTTGATCTAAATGTAATATGCTTAGCCATATCACTTAAAAAGAACACGCTGACATACACTGTTCACGTACCTAACACTTTATTTATGTAAATGTTTTCTGTCGTAACAAAATCAACTAAATCATTGTCCCACGTGACTGCTTCTTTTCGGATTGCTTCCGACACCAAAGTTTCCGGAACATGTTCTGTCGTAGCACTTAATATATCATTCCTCCTTAAAAATTGGAACATAAATTATCTACCGAACAAAATAAAAATAGAAATAAGACGATAAAAAGATAAAACAAGTATTGCGTTGTAACAAAAGTGCTGGAAGTTATTTTTAAGATATTTGTTTGTTTGTAAGTTAAATGTTTTGAAAGTTTCATGATTCAGAATATTTCTCTGCAGGTTTCATCGTAAGTTTAACTTCAAAGTTTATATGAGTGCATGACATTTGTAAAACACATCTATCTAAATCACAGGTTCTCAAAATTAAACATATAATTAAGTATCACTTGACAATGGGAATGTGAGCTGGGTCATTGTCCGTGATGAGAAATTCAAAACACTTGCTCAAAGTGGTCACAGAGTGCATATTAAATTGTATCAAGATGATGGAGATTTAATGTAACTTAGCACTTTTTCACCTTTAACCATACGGAAATAACAACAGCCATTTAAAAATGCTGAAAGATGAAAAAAAATAAACAGAGACCATTTGTATGTGAAAATATTAAAATCTAATTTGGTTATGTGCAATCTAAACATGCCACTTTATTACGACGAAAATTCCGTTCTACAAATCCGAAAATTAAATATGAGAACAGTTTATTAAGTAATCAGTTATCCGGAAATTTTGTTTTAACATTAAACAGGAATTCGTAAGCAAGTTTTGGCCTATAGTGGCTCAAAGTTTTTATTGCAAACTTACCTTCGGACAAATTTGTAGCGAGGAATCGTCCCGTAGAAGCCAACAATTTCCACAATATCTTCTGTTCTGTACCGATACAACCCTTCCCATGTTGTGACTACTAATTCGTATTTTTCACCAATAGATAACTACACAAGAAATGCGAAAAATGTAAATTTATTATAAATGTTATGACAATAAAAGGTTTTAAGTATAGACTGGTATTGAAAAGATAGCCTCTAACATTTGGGAAATTAATATAATAGGTTTAATCATTATGCTGTCAAGAAAAAGAGAATAAAAGAAAAAAAGGCCAAATTTAATGAGAGAGATCACCCTATCTCCTAACTTGGTGTTGTCTAATTCAATGAATTATCAAAATGTACAAGTACAAAGAAAAAACTATTTCACCTGATTACACTGCAAAGTTTGTGGGTTTTCTTCCACTGTATTTTCGACGGGTATGAATTCAAAATAGTTAAATGGCATCATTAATGTATACGTCACTTCCTGTTCTCCAAGATGAAGATTTATGCCGTAAAACGTTTCCGTGCCTGCATGGAACGGTGAAAATATAGGTACAGAGTCTAAATATCGTTTCTTGACAACATCAGCCTTAATGAAACAGAAAACACATATACTATTTTATTTAACATATTTTACTTCTTCCTCGTCTGTTCCTTTGGGTTAAATTTCACACTTTAAACATCATATGACGACTTTTAGTGAGGGAAATCCAAAGATGCTCATCAGTTTCAGACGCGAGTGAGCATAAAAGTTACTGAAATAATCCCCTTCGTTTCCCTTAAGTTAAAATGCTTTGTAATGCTTAAAACGTGACTTTTATTATTTAGCATATTTTATCAAGTATATGTCAATATGTTATTGAATTAATAATATGCAATAAAGTGATTTAGCACATCAAATTTGTACTATTGCTTAGCAAGCATGCGGTTTACTGTACTTTTCTTAAATTGCATACTAGTGTTTCGTCACGTGTACACAGGTAACTCATTTTTACCTTATGTATTTTACATGACCAATTATTGTGAAAGATTGAAAAATAAGTAACTACTTTGTTTAAAGAAAAACAAATGACATGATTTCAGAAACATGTGTTATATTTTGCATTCCTTGCTCTCTGTCATCTACACACTTTGATTTGGGTGTGTCTAAATTGTTTTGCAATATTGGCAAGCAGAGTCAATTATCAGTTGTCTGGTACCACTAATCAGTAGTAAATATCGTAAGGAGCAGCCGTAACACATCATATGATAAATGACCAAATATAAGAAACACCCCACCTAATAGTATTGAATAACATAAGAACCCTTTCCCTATGGTTACATCTAGTAACAAATGTGTACAATTAGAGCATGCGTTAAATGCTCATAAGAAAATGTTATAAAAACATACCTGTGTCATGAAAGAACCGGTTGCCAAACAAAACATCCCTGGGCATTCTGGCCAAACCCTCGGAACTATTCCAATAAAACCATTCTCAAACTCTTTTCTGAGAAACTCCGCTCTGTCTGAATCACCCCCTCCTAATGATTGAATAAGACTATTCCTTTCGTTTATTGTTAACCCATTTAGAGATGATAGTGTTCCATGCTCAATGTCATTACATATACTCGGCCATTTTCGTTCAAGTACTTGAAAAAATGAAAGCGCCATTTGGGCAGTGGAGAAAAATAAATTGCAAATATCAGGGTGCTTTAACCCAAATACAAGATTTAAATATATCACTGTTTCATCGTCTTTCAAATCCTTGGCAATATTTGGAACGACGTAAAAGTTTAGAGAAAAATTTGATGCTAAACCGGATATAGGTCCACATTTTATTCCAGACTTAGATAGCCAAATATTTGAAGTACACCTCACTGCAAGCCATTTTCGTATAAATTGATTTCTTGGCAAATTGGTAAAGCACTTTTGTGCCAAAATCAGCCACTTGCCACTAGTTTTTCGTAAAATTGAAAAAGATTTCGGGAATTTTTTGCTACTTCCGGAAGTTGTACCGGAAGTACATGCAATGTAATCGACTTTTCCCGGAAAGAACACATTGCTGCATCCAGATTCCTCTATTATGTTTACGAATGGTTCATAATCATCATACATCGTCAAAGGAATTGATTTACGAAAGTCATCTACACTTTTTATCTCGCCAATCCGAAGCATTTTCCCCACATCAGTTTCAGACTGTTGTTTTAAAATATTTAAAAGTAATTTATCTTGGTGATCCTGAATATTTGCGCTCATTGACTCCAGACGCTTTTGAATAAAGTAGCCAAACAAAGAAAGCACTTTTTGTACAATGTATTGAAGAAGAATTCCCTGAATGTTAAGACTTTTGCCTGGTCGCAGCCGAATAATGTCAAGTACCACGAGCAATGCCACAAGCCCAAATAACATATATATGTCTGTAAGGGATGAAAAATACAAATAATATTCTTACACATTATAATAATGAATGGCTAGCGCATGTGCCTGTGTCACTTCGTTTTCAGAGTAATTTTAATACAAGTTACGATATTCATTTTGTAATGAAGTAATAAACCATTTACTTAAAGGCCCATTATGCCTTAAAATGAATAAATGTTTCATTCATTTAAAATGTAAAATATTGGTTTTAGAAAGTTTAAATACATGTAATAGTTTTACAGCATGTTAGATGCTTATATCCTGAAGGAAATACATGAAATGAGAAATTATTTATAATAACAGTACCAAAATGTAAAAAAAGTATTATTTTAACTGTCATATAAATTACTAAATCACTATAAATGCACTTATTGACAAAAAAGCATAGTTCATTAATAGACCAATGAGTAACTTTTTTCGTAACTTTAACAACACACCAAAATTTGAAACCTTTTTAGAATTAAAAATAAAATCATTTCTTTGACATAATGAGACCTTGAATGTATGTCGCTTTATACTGCGAAACGATCATCTGAAAGTAAAACACTTTCTTTTATTTGGATTTTAAAACTTCAATTAAGTGAATACAAGAAAAATTTAAAATCAAGATAATAAAATCAAAATCAAGGCTTCATTCAATTTTGACAAGTGGTTCGGACAAGATTGTACCGAATAGACATACAGACAGACGGACGGACGATCGGATAACGCAGTACAAAACTAGTCTGGATGACAATCTCTTAAGTGTCGGCGGTCCTGTGTTGCTGCATTCATTGAACAACGCCCTTCTCTGTTGATAATGATATAATATTTCAATCAAAACTTACTACTAATTAAGGAAATAAAGTGTGTGCTATAAAAATGGCCATTTATCAAAATGATTTAATCCAAATTAAAACATACACGTTCAAGCAATAGGCATAACATGACTTGATGACAATCACTTTAATGTTGGTTGCATCGAAGAAGTGAAACTTGAGGTAGTGTATATGAAGACTTAACAAGGCAGACAACAGATATACAAACAGCCATACGGAAGGACAGTGTATCATCACTACAAGTCTTTTTTTCGGGGGTATAAAATGAGAAAATTTCTATGAGTTCAAGACTATCGTACAAAATTTGCAAAAAACTAAGTATTCCTATGTGTGTGGGGGATAGTTTTAAAAAAAAATATAATTTTACTCACCTGGCAATAACCTGTTTTGCCAATAAATTTGATAAATCCATCTAAACAAAATGAATCCACCTATATTAAATCCACACAGCTTGAATTTATCAATGACATTCATTTTTCCCTCTTTTAAACACAATATTCCTAACACTTATAACTTGCAGGAAATTATCCCACATATCGTTCAAGTTACAAATACCATATTCAACTAATGTAGCAAAATGTAAATGTATCCGATTTATATATCCATAAATCGCTGCTGTTTTAATCATGTATGTCAAGCCTGTATCAAACAGTTGTAAAAAGTAATTCCCTTAAAATAGATTTATGTTGAATAAACCCGTCCAATAACGACTATTTTGTATGTAAATGTAGGTAGGTAGATGAGATGTCATTTCCATGTCTTGTTAATGCTGATCCCATTCGGTTTACCCTTAAATAGAATAAATATATTATTATACACAAAATAAATCTATCATTCACTCAGGATAATTTGCAAACTGAGTTGATATTAGCAATAATAAATATGTATCATTGCAAGAAAGATGATATCTATGTGTCATTCAGTGCAACAAGTAAACTAAATAATACATCGTAAATGAATACATTTTTACAAATAATCCTTTAAAATAGCTCGATATACGAACCATCCAGGACAACATGTTAAATGTATAAAGCATAGTAAAAGTTTCCCAAACTTGTACAGACCATTTACAACACTTTGTTAGTTGAATTTGATAAGTTTTTTTGTGTTTTTTTAATGCGGATTTCAACTCAATTTGGTCTTATTATTATTTTTATTATCATTATTATCATTATTATTATTATTATTATTTGTCGGTCCACCTAACTGACTTTCCTGGATAACTAACCAATACTCATAAATTTCTAAGCAAGCAACATAACTACTTAATAAGCGGTGAAAGACAAACGGCCATTAGACTCGCTGTCACGGAGAATTTTCACCTCTCTATAAAAGTGAATATATAAACGTTTCAAGAAGTAAGTCGGATGAAGACGAGCGTAAGTACTCTACAAATGCTTATACGAATAATTTGTTTCGTACACAAAGTAACTAAAATCACCCTACATAAGTACAATTTCTAGGTTAATTTAGCCAGTTGCTATGGCTTTGCTTAACAAATCATCATGGTCACTACTTTTGTTGTAATATGATAATGTCATGACAAATATATTTTAGTTTGACTTAAAACGAAATGCTGGTTATTCATACCATCCAATCCATAAGTATTTAAACATCAATTGAATTTTAAGTTTATCAACTCAGACAATTATTTTCTCATTTTAAATTTCACGTGAATATGTTACTCTCTTAGCTTCAATATATATTTTTTTAATATTTGATTTTGTAATGGTATATAATATGGCAAGACAAATATAAATTAAAAAAAAATGTTATTTTTAAACATCTATTTCACTAGGACACATAACAGTGAATGTTCACATGAGTGCATGCATCGTAGGCAATATAAGCTACAAATCACCAAACTGTTGTCGCATCAATACATTACCTTTTTACAAAGAAAAGTAAAACGAAATAGAAAAAAGATGGCACTGATAGCATCATAACATTAAACAGCAGAAATAACTAATAAATGCATCATAATGGACCGCATAATTGTGGAAACTAGATCTCAAGTGAAAAAAACAAAACAAAAGCAAATACACTGTATAACGTGTGAATTCATAAAAAAAATCATGTAACGTATTCGCATCATTTTCCAAAGCTTGATTCGGCAGAACATTGCCTTTGGCTACACATGAATATAGACCTTGGAAATATAACACACATTAACATAAAGTACATATTCGAACATTACCAAATATCTTGGACTGATTTCGTGACATTTGTGTTTATTGTCATAAATCATGTCACCTGTTTCTTTTATTTAGTAGAAGTGTCACACGCATTTGCCATAATAAATAGTTATTGTAATTGAAGCATTATTATGTAACGAAAGTGCAAAAACTTTAGGGATGAAATTAAAAAGATTGAACATGATATTAAAAGATACCGCTTGTGAAAGATGAAAATACGTAAATGTAGTCAATATAATTATATTGGTAGTCAATAATCATGTTTAAATATATACTATGCTCATCTTTGGGTAAAATACTTTTTATTGAAGAAATTTATTAAATCTAGTACACTTCTTATTATTACAATAATCATAATTATAAATGTTCTGATATTGAAAACCGCGAGAAGTTGTAATGTTTTGTCTAAAACATTTGTGTCGTCCTTTAAGGTGTAACTTATGTATGGCAATAAAGATGTGAAAGAATGGACAAAATCGTATTGCTGGGAAATTTCACAGATTTCACATTTATGCCATGTAAAACTGATATGTAGCAATAAGTCAGAAAACTTCTTAGTGGGTTGGACACAATTTAACGTTTATGTCACATCCCAAAGTCGCATTTCATTTTAATATCTGTTCATGTCAATATTGAAACAGAGGGGTGTAGAAAATTCTGATATAAAAGCATACTGTTTATCATCCAAATCTTCTACAACCTGTACAATTCCAGCACTTAATAGCGCAGAGGTTGTATTCACTTAATTACTGGAGATACTCTGGTTAGTATCCCGGAAAGATATATATTTTTTAAATTGTTTGTCGTTATTTTACTTTTTCTTTTAACTTTTTGAATTTTCAGACACACAAGTGTAGTGTAGAAAATTAAGTTTTAAATATAAAATTATCTATATTCGACAGAATTAAAGTAAACTTCACATCTGATAACTAAGGTGCCTTATAGATGACTGAATAAATAAGCAATGAAAAAATAGATATATACTAACTACAAGTGAACGCAAATTGTTATGACGAAGATTTGCTTATGAAATTCTAAGATTCAAGTGGAATAAAAGATGATATAAAAATTCTTAATATTTCCAAACGCATTCAATTTCTCCTATTCGTTCTTGGTATTAATTTCATGTGTGAAAAGAATATAAGTTAACCTAAAATAATTAAGTTTATAAAAATTTAAATATGTAATAAGAATAAATTGGTTTATAAAAAATAATAAAACAAACACATACTTGATTGCAGATTTGAACTCGATAGGCCGCAAACTTAAGGTGACCGCTTTAACCACTAAGCTACTCGGATTTACGTGTACATACACTTTTATATCAATAAAAATGCAAAAGGTATTAATAAAATAACTTGAAGGAAACAACCGAATAATGTAAACGTAGGTCATGCTTCTCATTAAAATAAATAACTAATAATAATTAAGTGTCGTCTCTTCACATTACATTGAAATAAAATGGACACCTCGGTGAGTCACAAACAATTCATTAGCCAGCTGCACGAAAAGTTTTCTCAAACGAATATATTTAAAGTCTACGCGACTTGTGGCGGCGTGACAAAGGGGTTATCTAAAAATTGCTGGCCGAGAAGGGTTCAAAATCCGTCCGGGGCAAGCCGTTGTTTCCTTATGCAAAAACTTACTACACAATCGGAACCTAAATAATAGTCTTAAGGAGATTTCCATTTAACAAAAGCTGAATGAGATTGAAATTATAAATTGTAGTAAAAATCTATGGTCCATTTATTGTCCTATGTGACGGACAGAGGAAAGAAGAAAACAACCATAAAGCAGTTTTACAGAGATTAAATCAATTATATAGATATTGAGCATGAAATAAATCATTTTGACCTTTAAAAGTCAAGACAATCACTCTAAAATATAAAGGGTATATCGACGGGTACATGTAACGCCAAGAATATAATAAATACCTATATAAATCTACAGGAAATGTTCCGCTTTAAAATCTTTATTTTTTTAGGCTTTTTGACCTCAGCGGAGCTCCTTTAAATATAATTTATATAAAAAATATCCTGACGCAAATGAGTAATGTGAATGATTATTAATGTAACCTTTTATTGATAAAACACGGTGTTTCTTTTCATATCCAAATATTGAAAATACAGAGAGAAAAAGTAATTTCACGAGAAAACCCATTGCTTATCCGACAAAATGAAATGTTATATATTGAACTCAATTCTATTGTTATTAAAGTAAAGGTAATTAGGAAGTTATTTTTGTATGTACTTTAAAAATGTTGTTTTAAGGATGTTATTGCAAAATAAGAACACATGATTTGCTAATGATTGCAATCCCCGTAAAAGCTTTTTCTTTTCACCAGATCCACTTAAGTTGTTTTGTCACTGAAGTCATATGTGTGCGTAAAGTACTTTTAACATTGAAACAAAAGCGCAACACTAATACAAACATTCGTTTTATGAAGCGCAAGTTTTACATGGACAGAAGCTTTCGATAAAACCGAGGCTGCAACATTTTCAATTTGCCGTGTTAGCGATTCTCTTTACTTCAAAACGGATATGCTTACATTATCCAATCTTATACGGACACTTCAAAACATTCAAAAAATACTTAATCTCTTATATTTCATTTGAACATTTGACTAGGAACAAAATTCATTTATAACAACAACAATACATTTTATTGATTTGACCAGTTATAGATCATCATCATACAAATTACATTGACATACATGTATACGTGAAAGTAGAAGTGAAAAATAGATAATAAAAAAAAGATACAAAAATATTGATAAGTATCGCTCGATGAGAGTTAAATGGAGGTTGAACATTGTAAATATAAATTCCTTCCATCATACAGTACATACAGAATTGCAATAATATCATATATTTAATTAAGATTGCTCTTCATTTAAGTTGTATAGTTAAAGTGAAAACAAAAGATTGTTTTAATTCTGCAAGAATATATCGAAATGCAAAAACGGAAATAGATTGAACAAAATACGTTACAAAATATACTATCACCAATAAACTAGCGTCTTGCGCAAGGCCAAAGCTTCATATATAAATTTTCTAAGATTTAGCAGTGTATGCCTATTAGAAGATTGCATCAATTTAACAAACTTATGAACACTTGGTCTATTTTAAAAATACGGCTTAATGAAACGTTTTCTAAAATGAATTGGACATATTAACACAAAATGGTATTCGTCCATCCATGGACATTGCTTTCATGTCGACATAAAGATCAAAATTCAAATGTATAATATGGCAATTAACTTCTCGCCCAGATGGGTTTCACTTCTCTCTAACTTTTCCTTGCCATGATTAAAATATTTTATTGAAAACGAAAACAACTCTTTTTCATTGATATAAACATTTAAGAAAACCAACACATTTATTTTAATCTCAAAATTCTTATCATATGCCTAGGTTTTTTCTTTCTGAAATTCAAAATTTATCAAATACAAATAATTAATTAACACATTCAAAAGAAATGTTTTTCATTTTCCGCTTATTATTATCATCACATGTCTGTATCTCATAAATTAATTCTAACTTTAACATATTGTGCAACAGATGCTCATTATTTCTTCAATAATACTGGCAATAT